TGAACTATTTGCCCAGACTGGCCTGGAACCATGATCATCCTAATCTCAGCCTCCCAAGTAGAGGGGATTACAAGAATGAGCCACCTGCACCCAGCTATTTGTGTATTTTTTTTAAGGGATGAATATTTTTAAAGCAAAGCCACAATACTTTCAGTGTGTCTAAAAAATGAGCACTTGCTCAACTTTACATATCCTATGTTTGAATGCCCACGATCTCATAAACATTGTAATTATTTTACGGAGTATTTGTCTGAACCAGGATCCCAGTTTGGGCCCACACACTGCAACTGGTTGACTTAAATCTCTTTTCATGTATAGGCTCTCTTTCACCTCACTCTCCCTGACAACACCCCTTGTAACTCATTGGCAGAACAGCATTTGTCCTGGAGAGCTTCCTATATAGGCCATACTGGGGTATGCTTTTGCTTCTGGGGTACTACCATCTTATGGACTTCTCATTCCATAGATTTCACACTGATGTTTACTCATTAACTCCATGAAATTAGAATTAAAACTTGTACAAGTGAGTATGAATGTTTGGGGGAATCAGAGTCCAACAGCTACTTTAAGATTTTCTAAATGATCCCATGACTCAAGAGCAGTTAGTTGATGATCACCAACTGTAGTTCTGGCCTCTCATTTTAATTTTTCTTTCTTTCTTTCTTTTTCTTCTTGGTGGTATGGAAGTTTGAACTCAGTACATAATGCTGGCCAGGCAGGTACTCTACCACTTGAGTCACACCACTGGCTCCTTCTAATTTTAGAGATGAAAAAACAGACTTGAGTAGGTAAGTTGTCCAAGTACACACAAATATTCATAACACAAGGCAAGAATATGACTCTTAAGAATTCTACCCAGTGTTTAATTTTCCATTCCATACTGCATACAAGAACAGGCAAAAGGAAGAGTAGATTCAGATATTTGACTATTTGACATGAGAGGAGGTATCAAAGTCTTTTCCCTGTTGTTTCAAAGTTGCCATTTATCTGTCCGGTTACAATCCAAAATTGTATTCAATATTACTACCTAATCATTCTCACATTTCTTTCTCTGTATGACTGAGAGGTTTATTATACCACAGATGTCTCACAAGAAGGATGCCAAGATCAGTGATCTCTCCTGTGCTGAGGGTTGCCTTCCATATCTATGAGATGTTTGAGGTACAGTATAAGAAATACTTAACTGGAAAACAGTCATTAACCAATGATTCTTCAAACTCTTTTGGTCCAGAGATTTCTCATTAGTAAAAGAGTAGACTTTGGTGGGGGAGAGAATACAAAAATTAATGTATTCTTACCCATACAACATGGGCTGCATCTGGATAATTTCTGTTCTATTTCTTTTTTCAAAAATCTGGTTATTGTCACAGTTCATTAAGACTACTAATTTTAAGAACTACTACTGTGAATCTGCTGACAAATTTGCAAAATCTGCAATTTGAAAAATTCTTTACCAGGTGATCTTTAAGTCATCATTCATTCATTTACTTGGTCAGTCGTTTTATAATGAGTATCTATGAGGCGCCATAGATGGGAGCTAGGAAAATGGCACCAAGCAAACAATCTATCCTTAAACTGGATCAGCTAAAGCCATCAAATGGGTTTGACTTAAAGGAGGAAAGAGCAGTAGAAATATGTTTCCCAAACCCCAGGGAAGGGCTCAAAGCAAGACTAAAATAGTCTAACCCCCCAGTTGTTGGACTTTGTGTCAAATAAAGATTTCCTATGTGTCCTGCTCCAAAATCTTCTTGGAAATTACTGGATGCTTTTCTCTCTTTTCCATACTTTGCAAAGATCAAAGTAGTTACTAGTACCCCCACCTTATTTATTTTATTTTATTTTTTGATGTAGAATCTCATCACGTAGCCCAGACTGGCCTGAAACTCTGTCTCCTGTTTCTGTTTCCAAAGTGTTGGGACTCCATGTTCCACCAGAGATCTCAGCTACTGGGAAGTGATGGAAATGGTTGTTAGAGCATTCCAAGGGCCATTCCCCTGGGCCAAATGACCCCTTCCCCCACCCACAAATCATGCTGGACCATTTTTATTCAGCCGAGAGAGGTAGAACACCAAAATCATTGCAGAAATTATCTAAGATACAAAGACTCAGTCATTTGGTACTGAAGAGTAACAGGACTGAACACAGATTTTGGGTAAAGCCTGTTCTGGGCAAAACATAGAAAGATGTTTACATCAGGGGACTGCTCATAGCCTATCAGGACATCTCCTATCAGGATTCCCTGGGAGACATCTTCTAGCATGAGACTCAGTCTTGACTGCTGGCACCCTGATCTCCTCCCTCCTCCCCACCCCAGCCACTAACAAGATCTTTGAAACACACCTGCTAAAATCTTGTACTATCTGTATTCTTCCAGGCTCAGGCTTTATGCAACAGCCTTTCCACCATGCCACTTTCTACTGTAACTGCCAAGAATGGCCAGGTTCCTGCCTTCTGTTCTACAAAGTGGGAAATAGTGGGTACAGACTGAAGGGCAATGTATGAGGGGAAGAAATGAGATCTAAACGCTAAATCATACCCAACCTTCTTTCAGTCCACCCTTTCCTTCCTCTTTCACAGGCATATCCTGTGCTTTTTAGCACTAATGCAACTGTCTTAATCCATTCTCTGTTGCCGTAAGAAAATACCTGAGACTGGGTGATTTATAAAGAATAGGGATTTATTATGACTCATGATTTTGGAGAATGGGAAGTCCAAACGTCAGCTGTGCTTCTGGTGAGGGCCTGTGCTACTTTCTAGCACTCAGGAAACCAAAGGGCAAGCAGAAGAAAGCAAATATGAGTAACAAACTTCACTCTGTCACCACCTGTTCTTGTGATAATTTAATCTTGTGAGAATTCACTTGTCAAAGAAAGTCATTAATCCAGTCACAGTCACTTATTCAAGGAACCACTTTCTAAAACTACCATAATGGCAATAAAATTTCAACCTGAGTTTCAGAGAGGATAAACTATATCCCCACCAGAGTCAGCAACACTGCCTGGCTTCCTTTCCTCAGAGCTGAGAGTATTTTTACGAGGCTGCAGACCAATAGAATTTTTTTCAACTATTTAAGACTTTTGTGATCTAAAAGTAGTTAAAACATACCCCACTAACCAATTAACTAGCAAGCTTTTCTAGAAAAAAAAGATATCAGGGCAGAAGGTCCTCTTCAAATAGAAACAGATGCCATATGAACAATAGGCTTAGGCACGACTGACCCTTTCCAGTCCCACAATTTCCTTCTCTACCCAAACCAGGAAATATATATCAAGCGCAGCCATGCAGTTAGGCAACAAGGGCTCTTCTAAGTGGGTCCTGATATCATGTCATTCACTTTTATTAAGAGAACTGGGAGAGAGGGATCATGTAATTGTAAAGAGGTTAAACTTACCAAAAAGAGTCTGCAAAAATTATAGTTAGTTATTTGCGGTACCCAACATCAACAAGATGGAAAAAAAGTAAGAGAGGCACTTTCATTTTAACTTGCCATCTTGACTAATTCTCCAAGTAGCTAGTGTCCATCCTATATCAGTGGCTAAGATTTAATGCAGTGGACAGGTATTTTTTAAAGTTTTCAGTACTGTCAACAGTACTAATCCATTCATTGAAGTTTCTTTTTTTTTTCTCTAAATGTTTTAAACTCCTGTATTAAGGTAATGTGCAAACAAAAATGAAATGAAAAACTGTTTCAAACAAAAGGACAAGAACGAGAAACAGAAGTGTAAAGGAAAAAGAGAAGTTAGTAGAAAAGAAACTCTTTGGGCAGAGCGTGGTAGATAGTCTCCCATGAGCACTTTGGTCACCTCCTGGTGTATTTGTGTCCTGGGCTCCCTGAGGTTCATGCCAATTTAGTGAAACTTCACAGGAGGATTTGCTCTGACTAGCAGCCATTAAAGTAAAACTGCTATCTGTGTTGAGCAAACTACTCATGACATTGAGATTTGCCTCCTCCGTCAGGCTTACAGCTCTATCATGTTTCTAAGTTGGCTGGTCAGAAATACCTGTTACAAAAATCAGATTCCTGGAACCCACTTTATATCTAATGAATCCAAATCTCTGGGCACCCGGGTTTTGTTTGTTTTTATTTTTAAGCGCCTTGTTGCTGATGGATATTTTTCTTTCATTTTTTTTCCTGAAAATGTTGCAGGAATATGACTTCATTTTAAGGAAAAATAATCTCAACAAGTTTTGTAAAAAGTACCAAATGCAGCCAGATGTGGTGAGACTCACCTGTAACTCCGGCACTGGGGAGGGAGAGGCAGGAGGATCACAAGTTCACGGCCAGCCTGGGCTACATAGTTGAGACCATGTCTCAAACAAAGTATCAAATGCGAAATTATCTAGCTACTGACAATATTTCACTTCTTGGCTTCTTTCTTAGGACTTCGTCTTCCTCTTTGCCTCCTGTGGCTGTGATCTGCTCTCAGGGACTGAGATGAGCACTCTCCTGCTGTTTGGCCATCAAATACTGAGTACTCTCCTACTGCAGAAGCCTGCGGCACACATGCAAGGCCCGTGAAAGAATGAGAGGATGCTGGGCGTCAGGAACGGACGGTGGGATGCAGAAATCCTAAGCAGGGAGAGATAATACGTCAGTGGGGGGTCAGGGAGGACCCTGAGCATCCCTGAGCAAATCATCCGCAGCCCCTTACCCCAAGAAGCATGAGTTTGGGGCAATTAACACTTTGACAGGACCATTTACTCCTGGGTGTGACCTGAGACAGCATCCCTTTTCCCAGAGCTGAGGGAGAAGAGTGATTGATCTCACGGTGAGCGGAGCGAGGACTAAGATGAAGGGAGACGCAACTTCCCTTCCTCCGTAACCCAGCTGAGGTCCTTCCCGCCGCCGGCCTCGCAGCGCCACCTAGAGGCAGACTACACCCACCTCCCGCCCTGTTCATCTGCTCCTACCGCGCATCTTCTGGAGCCGGGGGGCGTGGCGTGGAGGGGGCGGGGCACACGACGCCACGCCCACCACCCGCTCCTCCTCTCGGGCGGCCATTTTACTGCGAGAACGCCGCGTCCCACGGGCGGCGCACGCGCAGACTGTCACGCCTGCGCCTGCGGGCCCCGCCCCCGCTCGCGGGTGTTTCCGGTGTTTGACGTTGCCATGGAGTCTGGAGCGGCCGGCGGAAGCCGCTTGTCGCCCGGGCAACCCGAGACAACGAAGGCAGACCAAGGTGGAGGTGACAATACCTTCTGCGATGGTGTCCAACCCGGTGCATGGCCTGCCCTTGCTCCCGGGCGCGTCCTTTAAGGACTCCACGGTGAGGACTGTGTGCCCACCCACCCCACCTGTCCCCACCTCCCGGCCTTCCCGAAGTGTTCACCGTTTAGAGCACCCCCATTCTCCCTTCCAGCCCGACCTATGCCGGGAGCTCGCTCTTCCCCGCCAAAGTTCTGCGGTCCTCTTCTTGGCAGCCTCGATCCCCCTCACCCGTCCTTCTCCCTCGGCCCCATGTCTTACAGCTCCCTGACCCTGCTTCTTCTAGATCGCTGCTCCCCACTTCCGAGTTCGTCCCCCACGCATTCTGCTCTGCCCAGCTCCTCCCTTAATCCCGAGCCGGGTCTCCACCTTCATCTTTATCCTACCCGCTCTCCCCGGCCTGTCACCCTTCCTCTTCTGACGCTGGCCCAGTAATCTCTCCGCTTTCACCTCCACGTATGTCGTTTGCAGCCATTCTCTCCTTTCCACCAGGGTTTACCGCAGTCTCTAACCGTCTGGTTTACGCTTCCAACCCCATCCCCTTCTCCCCAACTTCTGCCTTTTCTATAATCTAATCCTTCCCTCGGCTCTTTGTTTCCGTTCGTCATTGTGGTTTCTCTTCCAAACTTGCTCATCATCCACTCCTGCTGTGTAGGAGATGTTCTGTTCCAGTTCTCTCAACCACGGTCACAGCGGACTGGGCTAGTTGCTGTTTTCTTTCCCCTTAGCCCTATGTATTCACTCTAGCTTTTTTTGGTAAAAGATTTCTATTCAGATTAGTTTTTTATTCACATATGTTAATTGTACAGAGTACGGGGTTTTATTATGGCATTTCTATAATGCATATAATGTGCTTTGATAATTCTCACTCCATTACTCTTTCTTATTACCTCCTTTCGCTCTCCCTTCCACCTCCCTAGTAATTCCTCCTTTTCGTTTTTTGATTTTGTGGTTGTTTTGAGACAGGGTCTCCCTGTGTAGCCCAGCTGGTCTTGAACTCTGAACCCTCCTGCCTCAGTTAGGGCCTCCTGAGTGCTGGGGCCAGGCTCCTGTTCAGATTGTGTTTTGCTCCTTCCCCCAACCTGAAGTACGTTTAGTCATGTCCTCTAGATAAAATTAAGGAAAAGAAGGGTAGCAGCAACAGCAGCCTGAGTTCTTTATTTCCTCTTGATATAGTTTAGCTATTAAATTTATTTAATGTTTAATTCTAACAGGGTTACTAAAATATATGTTCTGGAAAATCATTATTGAGATTCAGTAGCCTGATTATAAATGAACCAATATTAATTTATATTTAAATAGCTTAATAACTTAAGTTCCTTTTAAGACACAACAATATAGATGTTTAGTTTCCGTGAACTACATTTATATATAATATATTTTTATATATTAAGATGAACCACGCATCAGACATATTTTAAATACATTGGCCGAGTGTCAAACAATTTGCCTTATTTGAAATTTGAAAAGCACGGTTACTGTATCTTAGTGAAGAAATAGATATGTTTCGCTCTAAAGTAAAAGTATTCAGAAGGTGAACCATAATAAGAAGGGTGGGGAGGCCCGAGGATGCCTTGCCTGGGCTGCTCCATAAGCCTCATCTGAGTGGTGCTGGAGATATCTGTCGAACTTAGAGAAAAGAAACTAAAGTCACTGATTTTGCTCTTTTTTATTTTTGGTGCTAGAATTTTTTTGGTCCTCACACACTCGACCACTGAGATACACCTTCAGCCGCTACTGGTATTGCTTCTGTCTTCAGAGGCAGAAGAAAAATTGGAAGCTGTGCAAGCTACCCAATGAAGAAGTCAACTGAGTCCATTTTTCTTCTATGTCTTGTGTATTATGTACCTGGAGCAATTCCTGTCAATTGGCTTGTGACTGTGAACACATGACTCTTTAAACAAAACTCACAATCCATAGATGTTTTGAAAAAAGTTTATTCTGTCCTATCTTTTGTGAGAGTACAGATCTTGAAAGATGGTAGGCTGGTCGCCAAAGAAATTAGAAGATAGGAAAGTAAGTCTTGTTACTTAATAAAATAGATTTTGATTAATTCTAAATTGTATATGTAACTCTTATGTAATTATTACATGTATAAAAATTTGAAAGTGATGTCATATTACAAAGAACAGAAGAAGAAAAACCACAAATTACCATAACCTCTAATTTGCTTTGCTATCCTCTTTTTTTTTTTTTTTTTTGTGGTATTGGGGTTTGAACTGAGGGCCTACAACTTGAGCCACTCCACCAGCCCTTTTGTGAAGGTTTATTTTTCAAGTAGGGTCTCACGGACTATTTCCTGGGCTGGCTTTGAACTGCTATCTCGTGATCTCTGCCTCCTGAGTAGCTAGGATTACAGGTGTGAGCCACCAGCACCCAGCTAATACCTTTATTTATTTATTTATTAGCATAGCAGCACTGGAGTTTGAACTCAAGACTTCATGCTTGCTAGGCAGGTATTGTACTGCTTGAACCACTCCACCAGACCTTCTGTTCTTTTTGTTTAATCTTTTATTTTACTAGGTGGCCATGTAGTCTTTAAAAACCTTTATTTTGTGGCTACTGGAGTGACTCAGTGGTAATGCACCTGCCTAACAAGCACGAAGTCCTGAATTCAAACTCTAGTACTACAAAAAAAGTGAAAAAAACCCCTTTGATTCTAATAACTGCAACATAGTCCATCAAGTGAGATTTCCATAATTTATTCATGCCTTCATATGTTTGACTTTTCAATTGTTTCCATTGTTTTGCTATCATAAGGTACACTGTTATGGGCAACTTCAGGCATATCATTCTTTCCCATAATTTTGGACTATTTCCTTAAAAAAATGATCAAGGGTAGAATTATTATGCTGAAGACTTTAAATATATTCTATCCAGTTGCTTTCCAAAGAGTTATATATGGATGTGTTAGTAGCATTATAACAAGAAGGGCTTTTAATTGCAGATAAAATAAAAATCACAGAACCAGATCTTGTAGGGTTGATGGTTTGTGATCACTAGGAATATGAGGAACATGGGAAGACTAGAGAAAAATTAAGAGTATGGATGAAATAATATTGTAGTCTTTCATGTAAGTTGAACTTGTAGTTAAATTTGGCATTTAAGCTTAGGTGTCTACTACTACCCTCTTTGTTCCTGTCCAAATGTTTTGTTTAAAACACAGAACCTTTAACTGTTGGTAAGCCTTTTGACACAGGTTTGCGGTATTTATAAGCAAAGGTTTAAGTTACAATGTTTTTTTAAAAAGTTAGTTGTTTTGCTTAACAAATATTTGTATGATGTTATTAATGACACAATTTTTTTTCTTCAGAAAACATCCTTCCATAGATGCCAGACACTGGGCTACAGGAATGGCTATGCAGTTATCCAACGTCCAACATTTGGGATAGGTGGGGACCGGCTCCAGGTCAACCAGCTGTCCCAGGCTGAGTTGGAAGAGTTGGCCAATAAGGCACCAATTCTAACTTATGGCCAACCTAGGCAGGCCCCACGTACAGATTTTGTTCCTGCGCATGTGGCTTTTGACAAAAAGGTATCATCGGGAGTTTTAGGGTACCCCTTGAATTCAGATGTCTGAGAGACAATTGCTTGCTGAAAAGTTAACAGCAAACTATAGGATTCCCAGAGGGCACTGAGGAGAAAATTGTTCAGATGCCTCAATCCTTAGTCATAGACAGCTGAACTTGGGCTTGAAAGAGGCTTTCTTTAGTAAGGAAGCTGATTACAGAAAATAATTCCCTGTAGACTTCACTGGAATATTTTCCAAATACAGTTAAAGTTGGATGATTTCTGAATTCTTGAGTTCACATTGCCTTATGTTTACTTGCTCTGTGTTTTCTACTTTTTAAAATATTATCTTCTCTAATAATGGTAAATCATTAATCTCTATGAAATACAAAATACCATGATTCTACCTATCATCAGTTTTCTTTATTTCCATTGTTTGACATTTCCACATTATCCTTACTTTTCCTTTTCAACAAGTCTCCTCTTTTAAGTAGTCCTACCCCTGGGCATACAGCAGAATCACTGGTGAGAGTTTTTAAAAACTCCAATGTCATTCTAGCCCTAAGGGACTCTAACTTCCAGATGACTTTTATGTATAACTTGGTCTGAAAACTACTGATTAGTTTTTATAAATTAAACCTTATTTACCCCTAGCCTATTTTCTTCCTTTCTGTTTTAATCTTTGTTTTCATTTTATTATTTCTGATAAATGTCTGCATTTTCACCCAGCTGATTTTTGTTGAGTATCTGTTGTAACCTAGAAGCTGGGGAGGAACTATTCAATTTACATTAATAATCACTTAACTAGGAAAAAATTGGAACTAAGTCACTGGGTGTGGTGGCATACAATCTGTAATCCCACTGGGGAGGCTGAAGCAAGCGGATCACAAATCCAACACCAGCCTGGGTTACATGGAGAGACTCTGTCTCCAAAAACAAACACAATTTAAAAATGTATCAACTTGAATCCATTTAATCTCATCTTCCCTATCTCAGTTAACTCTTTTTGTTGCTGTTGTTGTTGTTGGGCTGGGGTTTGAACTCAGGGCTTCTCACTTTTGAAGCAGGTGCTTACCACTTGAGCCACATTTCTGGTCTCAATTCTGATAGAAACATGTTCATCGATCCATTCATAGGCTTAATCTAAACATCCACTAAACAGTATAACATATCATTTGCATCTTTTCCTTTTGCTTATTTCTCCTTATTCATATCTCTAATAATCACTTAGAAATCAGTACAGAAGGGAGGAGAGTACAAATCCAAGAGAGGAGTGGCCTAGGAATTTAATAATTTATCAACATATAAATTCTACTTAAATAAGTTCTGTTTAAATAAGTTATTCTAATAGCAAACAGCTATTATAAAGTAGAAAGGAATAAAGTGATTCATGTCATTAGAAGGTATAAATTTAGAGAGAAAAAAATTGTGCCTGAGCAGGAAAAGCCTATTTTTTTTGTTTTTCTTTGTTATTTTATATTGTCATTAATAAATTTATGCTTACTAAATCACAATTTATTTCTTTAAGGATAGTTATATGAAAATATTATTTACATCTTGATTTCCCAACTTAGATCTTTATGATTTCTAAATAAATAAGCCTTAATATATAAACAGTAGTTAAATGAGATGACCGTTTTGTTTTTTGACAGGGTTTCACTATGTAGCCCACACTGCCCTCAAACTCTCCATCCTTCTGGCTTAGATTCTGGCTCAAATACATGTTTTAGATACAAGATTTGTTTGCTTGAATAAGGGAATTATGGCTTTTCTAAAGTAAAAGAGAGTTCAAAATTTTTAAGGAACATCTGAAGGTCCACTTCCTAGCCAACATATTTGCCCATGTTTAGATACCATTTGGACTGTTCCCCACGGTCAGAATATAACTTCGTTTCTTCTTAAGTGAGAAAGACCAGGATATCAACAGTGCATGCCATCATGTTTTCTCCCTGTCTGCATATAATTTTCTCCATCATCACCTACCATATTCTGTTTCCCAGGCTAAAGTTCTACTCTGTATTCCTGATGTCACTCTTTCATCTTTCCCACTTTCAACTTTCATACTGTTTCAAATACTCTGGTGATGGTTTCTCTATCTCTGGTCATATCATCCTGTCCTCAAAACAGAACAAGCCCTCCCGCTTTGTGACTTCTTTAAGCAAGAGAACTTTATTCATCCTTTGTCTGCTCAGGTACAGTTTGACTTCCCCCACCCTCTAGTCACAAATTACTCTTCCTAGGTACCCAGAATTGTTATTTTTTGCCACATCTAGAAAATCTTACTTTGCCAGCATTCTCTGACCTGTTTGTAGCACCTGGTGTCTCCCTCCTTCCTTAAAACTCTGTTCTTCTGTTTGTCCCATTACTCTGCACTCTCCTGGTTTTCCTCCTCCTGTCTGTCTGGTTGTTCTTTCTCTGGCCTTTCTACCGCCTGTCCCTTTAGTGTAAGCATTTTCAAAGTTCTGTTCTTAACATCATTGTCTTGAGAGATCCTACCCACTTTTGTGACTTCAACCATCTCCTCAATTTAGACGATTGTCTGTATTTATTTTCAACTCTGAGCTCATTGAAACAGCAGATATCTTCTCCTGGAGGAGCTGTTAGCACTTCAAGTTCTTTTGTCTCTGACTCATCTCATCACCTTTTTCCCTTAGATCTGCTCTCCTTGTGTGACTTCACCAGGTATTCGTAACTCAAAACTTGAGCCATCTTTGGCTCTTTCTCTCCTTTTCTCCCCACATTCAATGAGTTGCCAAATTAAGTATTTCTTATTTTCATTTCTTTTATCACTTTCATAGTTCAAACAGGCAATATGACCTCGTAATCTTGTATTAATATCATACTTAGTCATTATGCTCACACTAGGTGATTTATTTATTCCCCAAAGCACAGCTCTGATTATGGCATTTCTCTTAGAAAATGTCTTCAGGAAATCTTAACCAATACAGTTAACGTTTGTCATTGTCCATTTAGCAGCTCTAGCCCCAATTTTAAAGTTACCTTTGATTCTTCTTTCCCTCACAACTTACATTCAATCTGTTAAAACTTGTCATTTCTACCTCTAAATATATAACTAATTCATCCACTTATTTCTGTATCTTCATTATTACTATAAATCTTTTATTTATAGAACAACCAGGCTTATCTTTAAAAAATTAGATTATGTCACATACTGACCTAAAATACTTCTATTACTTCCCCATTGTACATGGAGTAAGATTCAACTCTATAATAGGTTCCTCGCAGTCCTGCGAGAGCTGGTCCTCCTTGCTTTTTCCCCAGCTCTTCTTGGGCCCCTCTTTCCCTCATCTACTATGTTTCAGTCAAAGTGGATTTCTTTTCCACATTTCCTTGAAACTGCAGTACTCCCCCACCCCCCGCCCAGGTGGAGGCATGCTGTTCCTCCACCTAGGTTTGTTTCTCCTCTATCCTTAAGTGGCTAACTCCACCTTATCTTTTAGTATGACTTACCTGAGCCTTTTCTGGGCCACTCTACTAAGGAAGTCCCATTCTATATTTCTCTATCACTTCTCTTTGTTTTCTTCACAGCACTAATTTCTTCTCTGGGTCACTGCTAAAAACTGACCAGCTTAACATGGGACAGACACATGTAAAACTTAAAAATGTGATTAGGCTTGTTATAACTGTGTGTGACGTGAACATATTTATTCAGGTTTTCCCTTCTCAAACTTGACGTAAAATTATTTCCATGTTTATTGAGGCATTCTGAGTACTATCTGACAGTTAGGAGACCCAAGTTCTAATTCTGGTCTTCTACCATAGCATCGTGAACTTAAAGAATCACAATTTCTTATTTCCTTATCTGTAAACTCACTCAGAAAACTGGAATGCCTAACTATGAGCAAAGACTGCTGTAAAATTCCATGAAAAATATATTTTTAAACACAGTCTATAAATACTATTTTTCTTTCCTTTCTTAATAATGCCATCAAGTTCTTATTCTACCTGGCAAAGTTGATGTTATCCCAACTACTTTCTGATGAGTTTTTTCAAATTAATTTATTTCCCAGTCATTTCTTTGTGGAAGCATAGAACTCTTTATTCTTAATAAGAAAAAAGATTCATGTCTTGCAATCCTGGTCATCATAGTGAGATTGTGTCTCAAAAAAAGACAAAAGGAAATGTATTATCTTAGCCATTTGTGTAGATTACATGCCAGAGGAAACTCAAGTACCTTATTGAACAAACTGACAAATATTAAATGGTCAGAGATGAAAATATAGACAGGAAAAACTTCTAGGAGGTGTTTTGATAAAAATTAAAGAATATTTTTCCATATATGATTTTGTCAATGAACTCCCAAATAGCCAGAGAGCATGAGGATTTAGTGACCTGGTAAATTAAATGCCAAATATGCCATATGCTCATATCAATTACTCACTTCCTTACAGAGTCTGATCGTAATAAAATAAGTATAAAGCAAGAACTGAGATGTACGTTATTTAGTCTTTTTGGCTTCAAAAGGAATTTTTGGATTTTACAAAACAGCCATAGAAGTCCTTATTCTTTCTAAAGATGCACAAGAATAGGCAATCAAGTTTAATCTGTCTTGATCATGTGTCATAGTATAGATGGTGATACTAGAGTTTGAACACAGGGAGTCATGCTTGCTAGGCAGACACTCTACCACTTGAGCCACTCTGCCAGCCCTTTTTTGTGTTGGGTATTTTCAAGGCAGGGTCTTGAGAGCTATTTGCCCTGGCTGACTTTTAAACTTGATCTTCCTGTTTTCTCCCTCCTGAGTAGCTAGGATAAGCAGGCACGAGCCATCAGCACCTGACTTAGAAGGTTTGTTCTTAAAGAACTCATTATCACTTGGATTTTAATTATAAAATCATATATCACTTCCCATTCTGAGACCAAGTTCCTGTTTCCATAGGTGTTTTCATCCCCTCCAAATTTATAAAGCAGATGGTTTAGGATCTGCCTGTGGTCCTAGAGTCAGTCTTTGGTCCTCTTCTCTGACTGTGCTTACTCCTTTAGTCCAGTTCCATGCTTGCACAGTCCTCTTTACGATGATGAGTATGTATATGTTAATTGCCTGCTTGATATCTCCTCTTAAATGTGTAATAGATATCTCAAACCAAGCATATCTAAAACCGAACTCCTAATTTCACCTCTTCACTCTGCTCCCCTCAAATCTGCCCCATTGCAACCTTCCTCATTACTTAGTACCAGCTTGTTAGTAATTCCATCCTTCCCATTGCTTAGGCCCAAAATGTTTGTCAGTCTTGTCTATTCTCTGGCATTGACTCCTTCCCAAAAGCCATCTTAAATTACCCCTATAATATCAACTTGTGCTGCCCCTTGAATTCAGTAAGTCTAAAAATCAAGCTCACCATCTTCCTAGTTAAAATTACCTTCTTAAGTTTCTATTTATATGGAATCACTGCTGTACTCCTAGCATTGTATACTCTGTAGTACTTCATCTGGTTCCCACCACTGTCTACTCTTCACCCCCACATATTTTCTAGCCTTCCTCTGCTTTTCTATTGCTGATAACTTATGATTGAAGACCTGGACTATCAATGGGTCTTTTGGTCTGATTGGTGTGCCTAGCACTTCCTTTTGTACCGCAGCGTGAGTATGCTGTTGAGTTTCCTTCCTCTGCCTCTTTTGTTACCTGTGCCTAAAATCCCCTTTAAAAATTCCCCATTCCGCATGTTTAATACATCTTCTATTTCTTCTCAGTTTTTAAGCCTTCTCTGACTAGTTTACACCGATTTCTTTTCTGAACCACTATAGCACTTGTCATCTACGAAATGACAAGATCTGTGGCGAAAACATTGGGATGTGAGCTAGTAGACTCATAGTTTCAGTCCCAGTTCTAATCCTAACCCCTGTATGGCCTTTAACAAGCCACTTTACCAGCCTGTGTCTAAGATTCTTCCTTTGCGAAATGAGTGGGATTGGACTAGCTGATCAATTCTGGCTGTAACATTTTGCATATATTTATAAATCTGTCCCTCAAATACATATATTTCATACACAAATTATTGTGATCATGTCCTCACTTTAAATTCTTTACATTTGAGTCAAAATGTTACTTTAAGTTATCTTTGTTTTTTTATTTTTATGTGTTACTTTTTCCTTTAAAAAGTCCACTATACTCATCTATTTTATCTTTTTCTTATGAGTTTCAGGGACTTCAACCTGAAGTTAAAATATGAATATAATATTCATATTTTTCCGGTGTAATAACCAATTATTTTTTCTTTTTATCTTGTTCTCCCACAGGAGACAGTATACTTGTTAAAGCTATGCTTTTATTTCATCTTCCCATTCACCAGGCCATATTTGTGTCTTCATTTTAGGATCTTCTTGATTTGTTACTCTTTTTTAAGTAGAGGTTTGAGTGAATTTTTTGCACACTTGGAACATCATTCTAATACTTAGTCTCCCTGAAGAGAAATATTAAACATTGAAACAGAGTAACAGGAATTTAAAAACTAATCTCAAAGCATGTCATTATATGTTTTATAATATTGGTTAATGTTTTTTGAAATGTTCCATAGATGTGCCATTTTTACCTTACATTGATGCTGACACTTCTCAGAGGACTGATGGCTTGCTGTATATAATACATGTTTCTGAGCACAGTGAGAATATGTAATGCTCTCCAAAGATACTGTGGAGTATTTAGTGATTTGAAGGTATCTATTTACAGTCTGTAAGAGTGTGTATGTCATTAATACATATTTAAAAGGGACTCTGCTTCTAAAGAACTGAACTTGAGCTTTTGTTTTCATTTCAAAACCCCAAACCATAATCTTGTCCAAATTTTCCTGCTGTTTTCAGAAGCTTATGAGGAATTTTTGACATGGAGGTAAGGTTAGTAAACACTTTCAGCCGACTCCCCAAGGAACACATGCAGGGAACAGGTAAATAGTCACACATTGTAATTACAGAAGAGATAGCAAGCTTTTTTGTAAAGGGCTAAATAAGTATTTGGGGCGTTGCAATGATTTTAATCTGCTTAGGTTACTATAATAAAATATCACAGACTGACTTCAACAATAGAAATTTATTTTCTCACAGTTCTGGAGGTAAGATGTCTAAAATCAAAGCATCAGAAAATCTGATTTATAGTGATGTCTCTATTCCTGACTAGAAACCACTTTCTTGTAACCATCCTCACATGGTCTTTTTTCAGTGTGTGCCCTTGAGAGGAAGGGGTTACCTTTTTCTCTCATTCTCTTCTATAAGGCCACCAGTCCTGTTGGATTAGGGCCCCATCCTTATGACCTCATTTAACCTTAATTATCTCCTAAAGGCCCTGTATCATAATACAGTCTCACAGGGGGTTAGGGCTTCGATGCATGAACTTGGGGGCATAATACAATCCACAGTAGCAGCCCATGTGTCTCTAGCACAACTATCCAACTCCACCCTCGTAATGGAGTAGCAGCCATTAATAAACAAGCGTTAATTATTTACATAATTACTTTATTTGTGGGTACTGAAATTTGAATTTGTTTTAATTTTCATGTCTCCATATTAGTCATTATGTTGTCCATTGGTTGTGAATTATTATTCCTTTTTAATTTTTTCAATCATTTAAATATATACAAAAACATTCTTAGCTAACAGGGCATGTAAAAATAGGTAGCAGAATAGATTTGTCCCATGGACTGTAATTTGTCAACTCTTGATTGAGAGGAATGATGTATGTTCAAATGCATGTGTGCTTCTCTTTTAAGGACACTACTTGATGTTTTTCAGATAACAATGGCAAACTTTTAGTACACCATTTCTCCTTCCCTTGTGTGTTAAAGGTGCTGAAATTTGATGCCTATTTCCGAGAAGATGTTCCTATATCAACTGAGGAACATTATAGAATCCGTCAAGTAAACATTTACTACTACCTAGAAGATGACAGCATGTCTATCATAGAGCCCATTGTGGAAAACTCTGGGATGCCTCAAGGCAAGTTAATCAAACGCCAGAGGCTCGCCAAGAATGATGTGGGAGACCATTACCATTGGAAAGACCTAAATCGAGGAATAAACATCACAATTTATGGCAGAACATTCCGCATTGTTGACTGTGACCGATTCACACAGGTATGCATATATTTTGGAAGTCATGGAGTCTGAGGTATCATTCTAGTTTATGCCAGGATACATTGCATTTATTATAGCAAGGGGAGGACACTGGTAGTCTGTCCTGTGTGAATTGTTGTGCAGGTTAAGTATTTGTGTGTCTGTGTGCTGACACATGCCAACACTACTTTTGCACCATGCTACTTAATTTCAAATGTGATTGATTTTTATGTGTACCGAGCTTCTATGAGTTCATTCATTTTTTTCATTTAGTAGTTTATTTATTAAATATTTATTGAGTACCCACTATGTGCTAGGCACTGTGAGCAGACTTGAGGAAAGTAAAGAAAGGAGTCATGGCATCACTGTCATTCCATAGCAGAGAGAAAGCAGTGTAGAAAGTAGAGATGCTAGGCCATATTTGAGATATTGTCTACTTCCAACATACTTGGAGATTTTAAGTTTCTGAAGTCCTATTTATTATAGGCAGTTTCAGAATTGTACCAGCAGTGAGAAATAAAATATTATCTAAATTTCAGGGTAATAGTAATTATTTTTACATTTGTATAGTTTTGGAAAATTTTAGCATTTGCAAATTAGCACTGAGCAGTTGACCTAATCCAGTTAGAGTTAACTCTTGATTCACAGAAGTTATGATCTATAAAGTCATCCAAAACACTGAGTTAGCATATACTGAACTATTGTAGTTCCTAGGAGAAACTAGGTTTCTGTCACAGAAATACAGATCTCTGGTCACAGTATTTTTGCCAAACAATACGCAGACTTGTTTTATATGTGTTTCTGTTTAAGGCACCTGATTTAATATATGTAGTGATTGATTATCACCAAGCTTGTGGCCAACACATCATAACACACTCCCAAATGAAGCTTATCTAACACAGGTATTTTTCTATAAGGCACATCACAGCTGTCTTGTGCTATGGAACACTAAACAGCACTTTAGTACTATTCTTTAGGGCTATTTGAAACACCAGAATCAGCAACAAAAAGCAGAAAAATGCAAAACATATGGCATTAAACAGACTGCAAAAAGGATACTTACTTACACTGAGAGCTGGAACAAGAAGGTAGAGTTTCACCTTGTTCTACCTCAGCTGAGAGTGTACACATTTGGGCAACTCAGATTTTTAACACTGTGCATGCCTGTGAATGACCATAAAAGTGTGGTGAGTAAATTAAGTTACATTTTCAATAATTTAAAGCTTACATGTCTGGACTAGGGCTATAGCTCAGTGGGATAGTGCCTGCCCTAGCATGTGTGGTTCTTGGATTTGATCCCAAGTGCCTCAAAAATAAATAAATAAAGGAAGGGAGGGAGGGAGGGAGAGGGAAAGAAGGAAGGAAGGAAGGGAGGGAGGGAGAGAGAGAGACAAGGGAGGGAGGGAGGGAAGGACGAAGAAAGGGAAATAAAAGAAAAGGAAAGAAACCCAATTTGATATTCCTCATTAAGGTTGAACTGTTATGGAGAAGGAGGATAACTGTTTTTATTGTGTAATTTGAACCAGGAAATACTACCCCTCCTCACCCCTCTTTACTTGCTTCTCCATGTTCTAAATGAATATTTGATCCCATAGTCAAAATCGAGTGAACACATTAAAAAAATAAAGCCCCAGAGGTGAATGCATTGGTTCACCCCTGTAATCCCAGCTACTTGAGAAGTGGAGGCAAGAAGATCAGAAATTGGATGGTAGCCTGGATAAAGTTAGTAAGACCCCATTTTAAAGACAAAATACAAAAAAAACCCAGAAGGGCTGGGGGTATGACTGGACTGGCATAGCACTTTCCTAGCAGGGGAGAGGAATTGGGTTCAATCCCCAGGATGGCAGAAAAATGAAATAAAGTGAAATGAAATAAAATAAAGCTCTGCAAATCACAGATCTAGAATTTTTGTTAGTTCTTGAGACAGGGTCTCTCCGGGTAACCCAGACTGACCTTGAACTCACAGTCTTCCTGCCTCGGCCTCCCCAGTTCTGGGATTACTATGTTCAGCTTAGAATATGTTTTTATTATAGTATTATTGCTAATATAACGTGTGAATTCTCCACAAATGCTGATGTTTAAGAAATAATATTTTTTATTTTACATTTTAAAAAATACACAGAGCTGGAGGTGTGGCTCAAGTAGTAGAGCACCTTACCTAGCAAGCATGAAGCCCTGAGTTCAGACCCCAGTACCATCAAAATGCGCACACACACACACAAAATCAACTTGAGCCTCAGTCCAACTATGTTGGTGTCTTAGTCAGTTAGAACTTCCATTACTAAAATACTACAGACATGGTGGCTTAAACAGGGGAAATTTATTTGCTCACAGTTCTGGAGGCTTGAAGTCCAAGATCAGTATGGTTGAGTTCCAGGAAAGGCCCTCTTCTTGGCGTGCAGACTGTTCACTTCTTAGTGTATGCTCACATGACTTTTTCTTTTCTTTTTTTTGGCAGCACTGAGGTTTGAATTCAGGGCCTCACACTTGCTAGGTAGGTGCTCTTACTGCTTGAGCCACTCCCCCAGCCGTTTTTTGTGATGGCTTTTTCAAAATAGGGTCTCATAAACTATTTGCCTGGGGCTGGCTTCGAACTGTCATCCTTCTTATCTCTGCCTCCTGAGTAGCTAGGATTATAGACCTGAGCCAACAGCGTCTGGTTCACATGGCTTTTTCTTAACACATGTGCTTGGAAAGCAAGAAGGTGAGAGAGAGGAAGAAAGAGGAAGGGGAAGAAGGATGGGGATTATGCATGTGTGTACAGGAGCATACCCAGGAGTGCACCATATCTTGTAAGGAAACATTCTATTGGATAAGATCGCCACCCTTATCAACTCATTGAACCTTAATTACTTCTGTATATCACATTGCAGGTTATAGCTTCAACATATGAACGTGGGAGGCATACAAACATTCAGTCGATAACAGTTGGTGAGCCTCAGCTCACCAGGCTTTGCCAAAGATTCCAGGCCCTAAGGACAATAAGGAAGTAGCCACAGTTCTAGGCCATACAAAGGGGGGTCATAGATTGTCCAGAATGAGGGGCACTTCTCTGATGCTAGGTAAGATCCTGGGACTGGGACTGGATGGTGCTCAGAGCACTGCTACCCAAAAGGGTCCTGCTCTTCTGAGATCCATCCCCCTGTATCTTTTCTAGGCTAGGGAAATTTCCTACTGCTCAAAGGCATTCCCTTTTCTCTTCTGTTCTTGGGACATTTGAGAATAATCTCTTCAAAAAGTTTAAGCTTTTCTAAAATAATCAACTTGAGAAGCTTCTACGTTCCTGCCAGGATCCCTAGTGTAAGGTTAAAAAGGAGCCTGGTTATCTGTGGGATCTAAGAGAAGGGAGTAAAACACTGGTTACATGCCTCAATCAATAATTCTGTTATACTACTCCTCCTCCATTCCAAGGGAAACTTTTATTGTTAGTCATAATTTGCAGCTCAGTTTTAACAGAGGTTAAGATTATAATATTTATGTATTTAAAGATATTGGAGACTTCCTAATGAAACTGTAAATAATGAGTTCACAAGCTATTTAGCAGTGGAGCTAACGCTAGAACCCCCTCTCAAGTTCTGTGTATTTTCTACTGACTTGTCTAAAGAAGACTGCACAACTCCCAAAAGGAACTCAAATTTTAGGTTAATTTCCAGTTCCAGAATGTAGACAAGTATCATGAAATTGTTCTTTTCTGATTATCAACAAAGGTAGTTGATTGTGATGCTTTTAAGAAGATGAATTTTGAAGACATAATGACTCTGAAAATAATATACTTATTTATTATTAGCAAAAAAATGGAGATATTGCCAAATGCACATGCTTTCCTTGGCTTTTATCTGGTGAGATTTGACCACTTGATTTATTCTTCCTATTTTGCTAAAACATTTCTTGGTTTAAAATAAGCAGTGAATGTGCTTTCTGGTAAGAGGAGAAACTTAGTCATATACTTGTTTTGCATGCTTTGGAAAGTTCAAGTACTATTCCACCTTAATGTAGCCATTGTACAGCTTGCTTGCATAGCAAATATGCTTTACAGATTGGTTGAAACCATGGTCAGCATCTAGATGTGCATATTCAAGCAGTCCCAGGACTTACTCTGCTCTTGGACACCTAACTTAATTACCTAAATTCATATTTGCATCCAGTTATTTTATCATCATGTCTTCCAACTAGCTTAACATATCTAGCAATTTTATACCATAGAATACTTAAAATAATTATCAGTTTTTTCTGCATTATGGAGTTGAGTCAAATGGATATAGTATTTTTATGACATGCTCAAGATACAAATTAGTGGTTTAATTTGAGCAATGGCATAGAATTTATTACTTATTTTTATACCATCAGTTTATTAGTTACTGTAAGAAGCTCTCAGAAAGATAGTCATTATCAAATTTGAAATATTTAGGTATTTTTGGAAAGTCAAGGAATTGAATTAAACCCACCAGAGAAGATGGTTCTTGATCCTTACACTGAACTGCGGAAACAACCTGTTCGTAAATATGTCACCCCATCGGACTTTGACCAACTCAAGCAGTTTCTTACATATGACAAGCAAGTAAGTGACCTAGACAAATAGGTTTACTCATTTCCAAACGTGGCATATGTATTTATTGGCAAGCTGTTTTGGCACCTGTATTAATAGTTATTTGGAAATATTATATCTATATTTAACCATTTGGATTACAGTTGTTTCATCTTGGGTTAGAGATATGCCAATGCATAAAATCCCTTATGAGAGATATAAAGGAGATTGTGAACTTAAGTCTTGTGAATCCCGCCAGATGTTCACATGTCAAAACAACTTTTTAAAAAGACAGGAAAGTAGAATGGAGACTATTTGGAAAAGGAGACCAGTGGGAGAGGGGGAAGAGGGGAACAAGAGAAGCCAGTGGGGAGTGAGTATGATCAGAGTACGTTGTAAATGTGTATGAAAATGCCATGATGAAGCCCATTATTAATCCAATTAATAAAAACAATTAATAAATCCAAAAAAGTAAACAATTTATGAGCCATATCTACTTCCCACTTTACATTTCAAATTTCCCATGAGTTAATCTCATAGAATCCTTTGGGAAACTGCAAATGAATTATTGGGAACTTTCAAAGCTGTTGCATATTTGTTGGGTTCTAATATTAAAATAGTTTCACAGAAATCCCTCAGCAAATGCTTTTTCTTGTTGAATGTTACATTAGTGTTGAGTACAGAATATTTTTCAACTCTGTTCCAACCTTCATAATCCTCCTTGTGAGCTGAAGTACACAGTAAGCAGATTTGAATCTTCCGTCTCTACTAAAGGGAAAGAAAAAGACAGTGATTACCCTTAATATTTCTTTGCTGCTCTTTTTCCCCCTAGAAATTAAAAAAAAATTTTTTTTTGGCAGCGTTGGGGTTGAACAAAGATCCTTGAGCTTGCTAGGCAGTCACTGTGCCTTTTGAACCACATACCCCAAGCCCTTTTGTTCCTTCAGTTATTTTTCAGATAGGCTGGGGCTGGCCTTGGACTGTGACCCTCCTACCTTAACTCCTGCATAGGATTAGAGGCATGTGTAATCACAAGCATCTTGTTTGTTGAGAAGGGGGTCCTGCTAACTTTCTGCCCTGGGCTGGCCTTGAAGTGGTGCTCTTCCTGCCTCAGCCTCTCAGGTGTTGGGATTACAGCTGCACTCCACCATGCTGGGCTAAGGAGTTCTACATCGTGTGTCTGCCATTACTTTATGCTTAAAGATTGTGGTGATGCCATTACTAGAGGATGCATTTTGATGAGACCAAAGAAAGGCTGGTTAGTAAATGAGAATTCTTTCCCAATTAGTTATATGTGAACCATTCGCCATGTAGCTTTATGAATATGTATAAGAATATATATGAATATATATAGAAATATCCTTAGAGAGGGCTTCATTGTTCTTTTAATTCAGTTTTTCTTCCATAGACTAATACTTTGGGCCAAAGTAAGCTCTTCTTTCTTGTAACAAACCAGTAAGTATTATTCTTTCCAGCTGCTGACATCTGGTACTTAATTTCAGGTGTTTTAGTATCTTTGATGAATTTTTCAACTTTTCCATTTACCACCTGAGATTATTTCAGTCTTTCCAGCTAATCTTTTCATCATTTTCTGATATATAAATACCACAGTGGCTAAGTTAAACTCCACTTTTAGGATTCTTACATTAGCCATTACTTTGGATTCCTCGAAGGTTCTTCGATTCTATGCGATCTGGGATGATACAGACAGCATGTTCGGTGAATGTCGGACCTACATCATCCATTACTACCTCATGGATGACACGGTGGAGATCCGAGAGGTCCACGTGCGGAACGACGGGAGAGACCCTTTCCCACTGCTGATGAATCGTCAACACATGCCCAAGGTGTTGGCGGAGAACGCAAGTAGGTTCCACTCAGCTTGTCCCCTCTGACATGGAACCTTTTTTGGATCTCAAGGAAGTTACCAAATTAGTGTGGTTTTTCCTCTCGTGTGGAAGGTTCTAGCTGTGTTCCTAGGTGCTCAGCAAATGGTTTTCCCATGCCTTCCTTCCTTTATAATGCCTCCCAGATAATCTGGTAGAGATGACTGATATGGAGATGAAGGAAACATAACAAAAACAGCAGTAGGAGGGTTGTTGTTGTTTTTAATGGTACTGGAGTTTGAACTCAGGGCCTACATCTTGAGCCACTCCACCAGCCCATTTTTGTGATGGGTTTTTTCGAGATAGGATCTCCTGAACTATTTCCTCGGACTGGCTTCAAACCCGGATCCTCCTGATCTCTGCCTCCTGAATAGCTAGGATTACAGGTGTGAGCCACCGGGAGCCAGGCAGGAGATTCATTTAAAGAAAGGTAGATGGAGGCTTCCAAACCGAAGCAATTTAGTATTTCATTTTTTATGAGTTTTTCACACACGTCTGTTTTCATCTAAAGATATAACTTAGCATTTCCTTAGTGGCTTTCCTGAATTTGCAGTTATCCCAACCACTTTCTGAACATGAGGTTTCTGTGTGGTTTAACTTGAGATCAGAAAAGGCTTGTGTGTGATTGATAGAAGATGGAGGCACACTGTGGCTTTCTTTACAATAACCTAGCATGTTGGAGAACAAGAAGGCAATAAAATAGCAGTGATACCTGCTCTTGACTATTTCCTGAGATAAGTAGGTTTGCTTTAATTATTGACTTATCAGTTAAAAGGATTTTCTCCTACAAAAATGTCATCTTGATCACATGTAATGACATCTCTCATGTTTAACTGGGTGACAATTCTATAAATACTTCTCTTAATTTTTTTCTTTTTACTATATTTTTTGGGAAGAGAAATAAGAAATTCCAGCTATTGAGCAAGAGATTTGTCTATGTAAGAGACTGTAAGCAAATTTGGCCAGTATTATGGAAGCCAGATTCAACCTACCCACTTGTGTTACTTGACCTTTACAGTATTTGTTTGTTGTTGTTTTTTTAATGTTATTTGTGGGCAAAGAGTTGGAGATTTTTTTTTAATCACTGTGACAGTAGGTAACCAAACTGTGGTGAGGTATATCTTGATAAATATGCAGTAGTTGAAAGCAAAAAACAAGATGTACACAAAAAGCAAATGAATGGATCTTAAAAGCATAGTGCTGTGTAGAAAAAATGAGATAATGCAGTAACATTTGCATGAGCATTTGAACAAATGCATAAGGACTAGGTGTGTAGCTCAAGTGGCAGAGCACCTACCTAGGAAGTACAAGACCCTGATTTCAAACTCTAGTCCTACAGGAAAAAAATTCCTGGCCTGGTGATGCTCACATAATGTGAGAGATCACTGTATATTTCAGAAAGCTAGAAGAAAGGACTAGTAAATGTTTGAGGGAATATATATGTTTAACTTAATTTAATTATCACACATATGTATGTATCAAAACATGACATGTTCTCCATTAAAATGTACAATTTTTTTATTTTTGTGTAGACTAGGGATCAAGCCTTTATTTCTGATATAGCAGAAATTTAGTCTTTTTTCTGTTTTGCCATCTTAGCAATGCCCAGAAGAAGAATACCAGCCTACTTTTCACTGTATGTGGAGCAGGCTCTGCACTCAGGCTTTATGGTTACAGCTGTGCAATTCAGTGCTTTATGCACTGGGTCAGTGCCTATCTCTCCATGAAGCAGGAACTGTATTTGTATCAGTAATTTTTGCTATCCCAGTACTTAGCAGCACACTTAGAATAGGTGATCACTTAAAATTGTTGGGTTATTAGATAAATGGGTAGGAAGTTGGATCAAATGGATTCAGACCTTCCTAGACCAAAGGCTCTCATCTGCCTTATAGGACATTTGTCCTGCAATGATTTCTTTTAAGCATTAATTCTGCTGAGCTTAGTGATTTGTAGTAATAGTTCTAGCTGGCTAGCACAAAGATTTTACAAAAACCATCTGGCACATTATTTATTTGTCCTGTCAACAGATGGAAATACATGGCCTTATATTCCTGTGAGAATAGAGGGGAATACCTGACCTTGACCAGAAGAAAAGACAGCATTCTCCCAGTTCTTAAAAGTACTCCACTCTTATTTCTATACTCATTTCTTCTTTTCGCTCTAAATCCGTGTTATGTTAGAGAATTTTCCTCAGTGTGTGCTGGAAATCTCTGATCAAGAGGTGTTGGAATGGTACACTGCCAAAGACTTCATTGTTGGGAAACCACTCACCATCCTTGGGAGAACCTTCTTCATTTATGACTGTGATCCATTCACTCGGCAGTACTACAAAGAGAAGTTTGGGATCTCTGACTTACCACGTATTGATGTGAGCAAGCAGGAGCCACCCCCTGTGAAACAGGTAATGGAATAATAGTTCAGAGTGTGTTGAGAAAAAAATGTATTTTATGTGGAAATTGAAGACCAAGAATAAAAGAACTCCTATGTGAATATTCAATTTAAAAAAACCGATGAAATATATGTCATTAGGTAGTTCACAAAAGAGCAAATGCAAAAAGCCCAGCAACATATGAAGAAACTTTTCAATCTAGCTTTTGAGTCAAATTGAAAGAGTAGCAGTATCCAGTGTTTGCCCTGTGTGAGGAAATGGGAATTTTTATATGTTGATAGTAGGAAAACCAATTAGAATAACCTTTCTGAAGGACAATTTATCATCATTTTAATTTTTTAAAAATAAAATATTGTATATCTTTGGCCCATAAAATAATGCTTTAGGACTGTAAAGAGATACATGTTTTATAATGGAACAGACTATAAGTAAAGGACTATAACTCTTGTAAAAGACAAAATAAGTCTAAACATGGAAAAATGTCCAAACAATTTTCTTTTGGTATTGGGTTTTTGGAGACAGGGCCTCATTATAGAGCCAAGGCTATTCTGGAATTCACTGTGTAGCTAAGGCTGGCCTTGAACTCCCAATCCCCTTGCCTCAACTTCTAGAGTGCTGGAATGACAGGCACATGCCATCACACCTGGATGCATGACATATTAGTCTTTGAGCATTTTAAGAAAATGCTTTAAAGGGAGAGTTTGTTGATTTTTTTCCCTATGAATAGACCATACTTGCCTAGTTCCTTGTATGCCCCGTGATTTGTTTTTGAAAACTGGACGTTTAAAATAAACACTGTGGTAACTGTAAATCAAAATTTTCCCCTTCCCTAGAGTTTTCTGGGGGGTGGTTATCATTTTTTTTCTTGTTTTTGATTTTTTAAATGTTACAGGCTATCTCTGTGCCAAGTATCAGCCTAAGGTGTGAACTGATGAAGGTCTTTTTAGATCTTTTGTGACCTGCACTTTCCCTGGGCATGAAGTCGCTTTCTAATTTCCCTCTTATATGGAGTTGCTTTTCAATGTCCTGATTTTTTTGTCCTGCTTCCAAAAGAGGAAAAAGAGAACAATGGAATGGAGTACCAGAACTTCAGATACCTGGAAGTTACTTCAGCTGGAGAGGGGAGGGATTTGCAATAATGGGGGGAGGTGCAGCAACATGGCCACCTGGCTCTTTGTCTATACCCCTGTGATCAGAAGTAGCTGATCACTGATCAGAGCACAGATCCCAACCCTCTGAGGACAGGGTGCTTTTTTGCCCACTTTGGCTCCCACTAGCTGTATACAGGTTGCATGGACTGCCTACCACAGGCCTCTTAGTGGGGAGGGTGAGTGAGATGGGTAGGTGGTACTGTGCTAAGAGCTGAAATCTATGGACATTTACCACAACTTGCTATACGAGCTTTCCCCTGGAGGTCACAAGCCTTCAACATACTCCAGAGTTTAGAAATAGTTATTTCCAGTAGATTCTGCCACTGAAATTGTGATCTAGGTAGGGAGACAGATTCTGGTGCTTCCTACTCTGCCATCATCCCAGAATTTCCCTTTGTATTACCTGTATAACATTTATGTCCATTTTGATTTTTTTAAAAAGAGACATTATTTACAAATTTAGATCCCAGAGCATTTCATTATTCTTTGCCTATGTAGCAAATCCTTTCATAAAAAAATGATTGGGAGCAAAATAAAGACTAATTAATTAAAGATGTTAGAAGATGGCTTTCTTTCATTGCAGTGTAGCTTTCCTTGGAACCATACTAACCACACAGCATATTCAGTTCTGTGCACCGCAAAAGCCCACTCTGATTCAAGGATAAATTCATGGCAGTTCTGATATCCCAATGCAGTAATCTGATAAACATGAGCCTTCAGAATATTATTGAAAGTTTCAAATGAAAATTGCACATTTAAAAAAAATCACATACTTTACAGAAAATTCAAGAGCTATCTGAATTATTAAGATGGTACAGTGTCGTGGGCTGAAAGCACTGACACTTGTTACCTGTTCAGGCAGGAGCAACTCACAAAAACCTCCCTATGTCTACTGTCCATGTATATCAAGTATTAATACCTAGCCTCATTTATTTATATTGCTATTATGTGTATAAAATCATGTCATTAGGCTCTTTCCAAAGGAAAACTATGTTTTCTATAATTAAATGAAATATTCTCCTACTTGCATTTGTATCTTATTTAAGTGAATAGGGACAGCCCACATGTGACTGCAGTATGACCTAAAGACTAAACCCATCAATCATGCTGTGTGGGAGAGCTGAAGACTTAAAACAACAGGGTCTGTGATGCAGCTATGAGCTGATGTACTTGTCAACCCAAGAGCCATTTTCTGCTTTCTTGTTATCCAAGATAATAAGATAGTAATATACAAAACACTTTTAGTGAATTTACTATTTACATTCCCAAAGAATCCTAAGTAAGACAAAGTGAATCCATAGTTTGACTACTTTTAGATGTCAGCATAAAACTGCATAGGGCACAGAACTTTTAACTTCCTATATTCTGAGTTCAACTTGGCTCACTTGTTTGGATTCTACTGTTGTGACTGAGTTTGGGTTACTTGTCTATCTTTTGCCACAGATGATTTGTTTTCAGTGCCAGTGTTTGTGGTATCCACTTGGATTCTCTCATCTTCCTTCGTGTTTACCAAGAAAGACTTTTAAACATTAAATTTCAATTTCTGTAAAAAGAAAAAGCATGCATAAAAGGTTGGAATTATCGAATCCTATCTGCCCTTGCCCTTACCTTCTATTCTATTTTCTTCCCTCTTGTTTGTACTTAGCCACCAACTGTACTGAATTATATGTGATCCTGCCAGGACAGCATCCTGTTTGAATCCCCTCGGACCTTACTAGCTCTCTTCCATCTGTGTGACCCACTTTTTCTTCATTCCTTCACATGGCTCTTTTTTGTACTTCACTGCTCAGTAGAGGCCTTCTCTATTCTACCAAGTCTTCTCTAAAACCTCAGGCAAGGGTGAGAGACTTTTGTCTCTGTAAACCCCTTGTCCCTATATTTGTTTTATGCCCCTTGATATTCTATATAGGGAAAATACCATAGGAACAGATCTAGATTTTGATCAAACTATTCTACCAGTTTATAGATAATGATTGAGTGAGGTAGTTGTTTAAGGGACTTGCTTAGGGTCACATCGTAAGGTATAGGGGATTTTCTGTTATACATTAAAAATTCACACAAGAAAGAGGTAGAGCTGGGGCAGTGGCACACATCTCTTTCTCAGTATTAGGGAGGCTGAGACAGGATTACGAGTTTGCAGCCGGCCTGGGTTACATAGTGAGACCCTGTCTCAAAAAACTAACAAATGAAGCAAAGGTAAATATTGTTTAGTCATTATGTGAATGACTAAATATTCTTTACACATCAGTCATTTAAACCCCAAACAACATAAATGGAAACCAGGGATAGGAAACTGGAGCAGGGTTGAGAGACAAAGCTATAGCTAAGGCAGCTGTCAGTGGCAGAAGTGGATATAAAGTGTTTATATTCAAGAATCATGTCACTCATAGGTCAAGGTCATCTGCTAAGTGAAAATAAGTAAACATGGATCCAATGGACAGATGTGTTTTTGTCTTAGGCTGGCTCTATCTGGAGGAGGAGAAAGAAGACAGGACTAAGAGAGCTAATCTGTGATGCTGGTGGCTCCTGAGTGAGTTATCTGAAGGATTATGAGGCTCTGGGGCTTCAACTGTACCTGAAACCCTGGTAGGTGGATCCTACGTGCAGGAGTATCCAGGAGTGTTGATGTGCACAGTCAGAGTGGCTTATCTAGTTTAGAGCAAGGTCCAGGCAGCAGCATGACAAGCCAGGTGTCAGGACCCCTGGCATGGAGTAATATTTAGGAAAAGGATTTATTCTAGGCAAGTATAATGAGGTTTGGATTCAGGAAAAGCAAGTAGAAACTTGAGAAGAAGGCTTGGAAAAACCCTCAGGTCTACCCTCAACCAAGATGATCTTCTGGTATATTGGTATAAAGGAAAAGCAACTTCAGGTTCCACCACCACCACTTTGCAGTCTCTGCTTAGCATGCTAAGAAACTCAAAGGTTTAGCATGTCATATCTCAGCCCATGTTCCCTCTGTCCATGATAGCTGTCATTCAGTAATTAGGTAATTGAAGCAAATTGGGTCACTGTCCATCAGCTGAATCTACTAGTTATATTCTGGTCATGATTACATATTAACCATAGTTCCAGCAAGTAGGTGACAGGTCAATGTTGCAACTAGAACACTTGGAAATGTAGTAGACATGAGTGGAGTTGAGAGATTGTTGAGGTAATACCCAATCACGATGGTAGTACATATCATATAGACTAATTTATTAAGTCCTGAATACAGTGTATAAAAAGATTTGGGCAAAGTATGTACAAATGAAAAATTGTACAGGCTGAGTTTCCTGAGAAAGCATAGTAGAAAGGAATGATGTTTCACTGACATTAATGAGGGAGGAAAACTTAGTCTCTGCCTATCTATCTCTCCCTTTCTCTTTGTCTGAAACAGTTCTGAGATCTGCTAGGCTGAAGCCGGTAACCTACAACAAAAAGATGAATCCATGGACCTTACTATTCTAGGATGATCACAAGCGACAGTGGGGACCGAGGTGGGACTGTGTGCGGCATTGGTAGTAAGGGTCGGTGGACATTCCATCTAGTGCTAGCAACTACTGGTGACCAGTGGACATTATGTAAATCACAAAGATGGAGGGAACAAGTGGCATGTTATTTTTTCTAGTTACAATTGTATATTTGGAAATTGTTTTCCAGAGTTTTTTTTTTTAAAGTTGTATCTGCCTTTAATGTAGTTTTACCACAAACAGCATCTGCTTTGTTTCTTGCTCTGTATCTCCCTAGGAATTACCTCCGTATAACGGCTATGGACTGGTTGAAGATTCTGCTCAGAATTGCTTTGCTCTCATTCCAAAAGCTCCAAAAAAAGATGTTATTAAAATGCTGATAAATGACAACAAAGTGCTTCGTTATCTGGCTGCACTGGTGAGGCTAGTTTTTGTACATGAACGTTCTGTCTCATTACTGTGTACACTTGTCCATTTTATCTTTTTTGTGAAATTATTTATTTTGTGGTAAAATACACATAAAAGTTTATATACAGTTCGGTGACATTACGTACATTTATGTGTGTGAATATACTATCTACGTGTATTCACACGCATATGTACATAGACTAGTGGTATATGTATAATTACCACTCATTCTAGAACTTTTTCATCACTTCAAAAAGAATGTGAAAGTTGTCATAATAAAAATATTATTGTTTAAAGCAATGCCTATGGGAGGATGGATGGCTGCCTATTTTTTCATTTAGACACCTTTGTTTTTAAGTCAAGGATTAGATAATGTAGGAGATACAAAAATTTTTTATATTTTTATAAAATATTTTTATAAAACAAGGTGGGCTGTGTTTTCTGAGCTGAAACTTTCTTAGATTTCTGTCAATTTAACTTTGGTAATAATGTTTGTTGAATTTTCTTCCTAACTCTGGCAATAGTTTATCTATTTTAGTATTTTATTTTAAGTACTTCCCCTTTCTACACAAATAGCATTTAACCCAAGGGGAGCTGTGTCAGGATCTGCTAGATAGGTGTCATTTGGAGGGGGGTGCTTTTTTGGGGGAGGTGTTAATTCAGTTCGAACTCAGTGCCTTGCACTTGCTACGCAAGTGCTCTACCACTTGAACCATGCTCATGGCCCATCTTTTTTTTTTCTTTTTTGACAGTACTAGGGTTTGCATTCTAGACTTGGTGCTTGTCAGGCAAATGTTCTACCACTTGAGCCCCTCCATCATTTTTAATGAAGGTGCAACCAAAACTTTTTTTTTTTTTGTAAGTGGCTCCTTCTGTGAGATATATGTTTTATTTATTTATTTATTTATTTATTTTCATTTTTCTTTTATTATTCATATGTGCATACAAGGCTTGGTTCATTTCTCCCCCCTGCCCCCACCCCCTCCCTTACCACCCACTCCACCCCCTCCCTCTCCCCCCCCAATACCCAGCAGAAACTATTTTGCCCTTATCTCTAATTTTGTTGTAGAGAGAGTATCAGCAATAATAGGAAGGAACAAGGGGTTTTGCTGGTTGAGATAAGGATAGCTATACAGGGCATTGACTCACATTGATTTCCTGTGCATGGGTGTTACCTTCTAGGTTAATTCTTTTTGATCTAACCTTTTCTCTAGTTCCTGGTCCCCTTTTCCTATTGGCCTCAGTTGCTTTAAGGTATCTGCTTTAGTTTCTCTGCGTTAAGGGCAACAAATGCTAGCTAGTTTTTTAGGTGTCTTACCTATCCTCACCCCTCCCTTGTGTGCTCTCGCTTTTATCATGTGCTCATAGTCCAATCCACTTGTTGTGTTTGCCCTTGATCTAATGTCCACATATGAGGGAGAACATACGATTTTTGGTCTTTTGAGCCAGGCTAACCTCACTCAGAATGATGTTCTCCAATTCCATCCATTTACCAGCGAATGATAACATTTCGTTCTTCTTCATGGCTGCATAAAATTCCATTTTGTATAAATACCACATTTTCTTAATCCATTCGTCAGTGGTGGGGCATCTTGGCTGTTTCCATAACTTGGCTATTGTGAATAGTGCCGCAATAAACATGGATGTGCAGGTGCCTCTGGAGTAACAGTCTTTTGGGTATATCCCCAAGAGTCAACCAAAACTTTTTGATTGTCTACTGGGAACATTCATTTCCTCTCCATATATATATATATACTATTGAGAAAAATATTAAGTTAACACCGTGCAAACAAATAACATACTTATTAGGTGGAGGAGCTGGGTTCTTTGTTCTAAACAGCACTTCTGAATCCTTAATGCTTGAATTTTGAAATTTGGTGATTCATTTTCTTACCTTTTTTTAAGTTAGGTACTGTAGGAACTAATTTTTATTATAAAACAAATGTCTTAATAATAGATAAGAAAAGGAAATTTCCTCAGTCTGATAAAGGGTATCTACCAAAATATACTGTAAACAGAATATGTAGTGGTAATATATTGAGAGTATACTTTGAGATTAGGAACAAGGCAAGACTTGTGTTCAAGTTGAACATCTTATGTTCAACTTTGTTCTGGAGTTCTTAGCTAGAGAAGTAAAATATGATGGGAAATAAAAATGTGTTTCAGTTCGCAGTAAAAACATTTTGAAGAAAGCCAATAGAACTTTTAGTAAAGAAACAGCAGTTATCTTTGGTTAGGTAGGAAAAAAGAAGTGATATTCTGGTTATGGTAGTTTTCAAATGTTTTTTCCTGACCAAATGTTTGCTGAAATTGGCTCATCACAAAAGTGCTGGAGGAAGAAAGAAAATGTGCCTAGCGATAAGGAGAAAAGGTTTAGGAGTAAAGAGGGACTTCAGAAGAGAAGGTAGAAATTTTTTTTTAAAAAGGAATACATTGCAGAAATGATCACAGACAAATATAATTAAATCCCTTGGAGTTCAGATAAGGACACTGAACATATTTTGAGAAAATAAACCCAGGCAGGCACTTGTTGCTTAAGTAAAAGTTTGCTGGTAAACTGTCTATGGCTGGGAATGGAAAGCTGGCTGAGGAACACAGGAAGTGTTAGGAAAGAGTAAGAAGCACGATTTGAGCAGGAGAGAGAAACTGGACCAAGTGTTCTACCTATCAAGGAATCATTGAAGAGCAAATCAGAAGAATTCAATGTGCTAAACAAAGTTTGTTTACACCAGATATTACACATCATAGTGATGGTTGTTTAATATCAATTTTAAGCATATTGTGTTAGGCCTTGAAAAAATACATTATTTTGTTTTTCACAAATGGAGAGCAAAATATCCAATTACTCAAGTGGCCATAAACTAAAAATTTTCAGAATGGTGACATATCATTTGAAAAACAAACAAATGCTGCAGGCTGGGGGTGTAGCTCAGTGGCAGACCATGTGCTCAGCGTGCTGGCTGAGGAACTCAGGGAAGCTTTAGGAGAACATAAGAAACATGATTTCAGCAGTCATCTCCAAAACAGCATGCATGCCCTCCAAGGGGTATGCAAGACAGTACGATCTATGGTACTTATAAGAAAATACCGTAGTCCCTTTAATCTCACATGCTACTTGTTACGAGTGTGTTGATTTCAGCCCCTGATATTTTATATATGCTTTGTAATACACAAAATATGCTTAAGTTTAATTATTAACTTAATTCAACAAATATTAAAGGGCGATTCTAGGCTAGGCATAGTTCTAGGTGCTGAGTATACGGGGAGAAAAATCTCTGGGGGAGAAATCTGTCCTCGTGGAGCTTACATTCTAGGTGAATGCTAGTCAATAAAGAAATTACTATGAAAGGCAGGTAGTTACATGTACTGTGCAAAAGTAAAGCCATAGACAGAATGAGGAGGAGGGCTCGTGTGTATTGGCAGATTAGGGGAAACCTCTCTGTGGTGGTCACAGCTGAGCAGACTGAATAACTGAGGGACCAGTGGGTGAAGAGCTGAGAGAACTGCATTTAGGGAACAGGCAGTGTACAGTGTACAGTGAGTGGGGACAGAAATGTAGAAAAGACAGGTCAAGGGCAGTCAAGACTTTGTAACCACTGGTATAACCAGGCCAGAGGACTAGAGTAGTGGAAGCAGGACGGTAACAAGTAACCTGCAAGTAACAATACTGCAGAGAACTAAAGATAAAACCAACTAAAAGCTGTTCTGCTTTTTATTATCACCATGTGCCTGTAACATCAGCAGTAAATGCATGCTTCCAAAGAGCTCCTCCACACCACGGAATGTCAATTATTAACTGTCAAAGAAAAGAGGGAAACAGAAAATTACTATCAGGCACACACTACACTCACAACCATCATGGGTAAGATCTACCAGTGAATGGATGCTAAAATTAGTGGCAAACCCATCTCGAAGATGTTTATTGACTGCCTATGGAAAGGTGGTAATTTTAAAGGGAGAAACATAGCAGAAACTGTCTTAACCAATTGATCAAGGTCAGCATCATCAGTAATTAGACATATTGACATGATGAATTCCTCAATATGCATACTAAAGACATGATGTGTTTTCTGAGATATTTTTGTCAGAAATGAGCTAGGCACAGTGCTGCATTGCAGTCAATCTCAGCACTCTGAAGGTGGAGGGAGAAAGATGGTGAGTTTGAGGTCAGTCAAGGCTACATAGCAAGATCTAGTAAAGGGAGGGAGGGAAGGAGGGAGAGAAAGGAAGGAGGGAAGGAAGGCAAAAAGCAAAAATGAGATGCATGAAGAACATTAAACAAAATAATTGATGGTCTTCAAAAGTGTCAAGGTCAAGATCAAGACAGACAAAAGGAGATCAAGGAACCATCATAGACTGGAGGAGACAAAAAAGAACTAATAACTAAATGCAATGTGAAATCCTAGATAGGATCTGGAAACAGAAAAAGTATTTATAAAAGGAGGTGAAATCTGAGTGAAGACAGTAATTGACTTAATAGAATTGTACCATTGTCATTTTCCTGGTTTTTTGTTTCTTTGTTTTCTGAGGGTTTTTTCATGTTTTGTTTTTTTTAGACAGGGTCTTGCTATGTAGCCCAGGCTGACCTTGAATTTACAATTCTGCCTCAGCATCCTGAGTGCATTTTCCTGTTTTGATAATTGTATTCCAGTTGTCCAGGATATTAACACTGGGGGAATCTTGGTGAGGGGTATGTGATAATTCTTCATTATTACTTATGCAACTTTTCTGTAAGTGTAAACGTAGTTCAAAATAAAAGCTTTTCTTTTTGTTTAAAAAAAGATTTTTAAAGTTTTAAAATGCTTCTTCCTACTCTGGTGAACTGTTGCCACTGTCCCACCAACCACTGTGGTGTGCCCCCACTTAGAACTTGTGTTTTATTCTAATGTGATAGGAATCTTTTGATGGTTTCAGAGTGTTGTGATTTGATTTTCCCTAACTATTTTGTGGGTATTTGTCTACAATTTACTTTTCATTATGTGGGCGTCCAGTCAAAAAGTAGATTAGGGAGTGGTATGAGAAAATTATTTTACTCAGAGAAACCTAATGACTTTCTTCAATAGTTGAGAAATTATTACACAAATAACTGTGTGGTCTGAATGCGCAGATGTGCGTGGAAGTTTCAATATGAGAATTTCAGTAAGGACTAAGCATGCCTGTGATAAGGCTTGTCAAGCTGTGTGTGATCACCGTAGTGATGTCACTTAATAAAAGTCTGCTGTACAATGTACTTTTTTCTGAATTACTTTCAACTTCATGATTTTTATATTACCCATTCCTCTCTCCTTAAATTTTACTTTTTAATTATTTATATAAATGGACTTTTTTAAAAACACTAAACCTTGCATAATAATCTTAGTGTCCACAAAGTTGAATATAATGGCAACAGAAAGGTGTCAAACCGCAGCCTGTGGGCACAGCGTAGCCCATATAAGTATGCTGCTTTAAAAGAGTTGGAGTCAACATCTAAAGTCAGAAGAGAGAGATTTATGTATTCTCTTGAAGAACTGGAATATCTAGCAACATTGGGCCTACATTCTTACATAAGGGAACAATCAACTCAATCAACAATTGATTTGAGTTGGGGAGCCTCCCAACTCATGGGACATGAAACATGTCCTTCCCAGCCACCAGAATCTCCCCATACATGGTGTGTTTGTATTGTATGAACCCAGTTTCACTTTATCTATAGCATATATATGGACCCTGCTGGTATTTGAGGCTTCTGGATAGGTTGTGGACCTTCATGATACCCTCTTTTTCTTCATCCTTCTAGGAATCTCCCATCCCAGAAGACAAAGACCGCCGATTTATCTTCTCTTATTTTCTAGCCACTGATATGATCAGTATTTTTGAGCCTCCTGTTCGAAATTCTGGTATCATTGGGGGCAAGTATCTTGGCAGGACTAAAGTTGTTAAACCACTCTCTACAGCGGATAACCCCGTCTACTATGGCCCTGACGACTTCTTTATTGGTGCTGTGATTGATGGTAAGTCTAAAAGCTCAGAATTTCCTACTGTCTGATCACATGGGCTCTTAGCTGTAATTTAATTCAATTAAGCCTTACAAGAAGCAATTAAGTTATATTCCAGTTGAGATAAAGCTCATATTCTTATATAAATAGTATAATGTCTTAATCTCCTTCCATCAATTAAACTCTAAATTGGTTGCATTTGTTGCCAATATTTTGGTTGCATTTTTAAGATACTAACACCGAGAAAGAAGTTGTATTTACGTATACAACTATTAAAAACATGTTAGCCTGCATCACAAATGCCTATCTGTGGATTTATCATTGTAGGGTTAACAATACTTTACTTCTGATTATCTGAAACATAATCAAGCTAAATGTAATGTTACTCTTTCCCCAGTGTTTGGCCACCGGTTCACTATCCTTGATATAGATGAGTATGTTGTAAAATATATGGAGAGCAATGCTGCCCAGTATTCGCCAGAAGCACTCTCATCAATTCAGAACCATTTCCGAAAGCAAGGAGCACCTGGACCGGAACTGGAAAAGTACGTTTGACTACCTCGGGTCCCGTTTTGCTTTGACACATGCAAGATATTTAGGGAGGAATTCTTGTCAAAGTGAATATATAATCACATTCTCAATTTCCAGATTTCTATTGGATATACACAAAGAGTCCCTGAAGTAACTCAGAACTTGTCCAGCTTTATCTGATTAGCAGGCAATTATTGAACGCCCATGTTTCAGGTACTCCCACTAGGCAATCGGGCATTATCAGCAAACAGAGTAACAAGAAGCTGCTGCCTTCATGGAGTTGGCCTCAGCAACAGGAGATAGACAATAACACAAAGAAGTAATTCATACAGTGTACTGAGTGACTGCTGCCATGAGAAACTGCAGCAAAATAGGGGTGCTAAGCATTTCTGGAGGGTGGGGAGTGGGTTGTAATTGCTCAGGACAGGTGAAAGCACCTAGAGAAAGTGACATTGAGCAAACACACGAAGGTAACAGTGTTAGCTGGGTGGGTGTCTGGGAGAAGAGCTTTTCAGGAAGAGGGAATGGTGAGTGCAAATGCGCTAAGTGGTATCATGCCTGGCCTGGAGTGCTCAAGTACCACCGGCAAGAAGTTTAATCTTTCATTTCAGTAAATCCTAAGCCTAAACTTCTCACCACCACGCAGAATAATTTCTTAACTTCCGTAGCTGTCCTTTCACCAAAATAGAGAATGTTAAAACGACAAGAGATTCCTGGCTACATAGTGATATACGTGTTTGTAAGCATTCAGGCATTTATTTTTAGATGAGGTAATGTTAATCTGAACAGCAGTAATAGATGTGATTCTCACAAATACCAATTTGGGATGGGTGTATTAGATTTGTTTCTTAGTGGTCCACTGATTCAACAGATGGCAAGAAGGAAGGTGGTTCAAAAACTGTCCCTAATCAGGCCTTCCTGATGTGGGGTCAGTTGTCAACCAGCCTCTGTGGGCAAGTGTTTAGTTACTGGTCAGCTTGGTGTCATTGAAACCTTCTCAGACTTCACCAAGGAGGAGCTTTGGTCACTGAGATAAAGACTGGTCAAGAATAAATGCCATGTCCCAGTCATTTCCTTCCTTTCTCTATAGCAAGCAAGCTAAAGAGGATGCAAGCGTGCAAGAACTAGAAGCGCTAATAGAAACAATCCAGAAGCAACTGAAAGATCATTCATGCAAAGACAACATTCGTGAGACATTTCAAGTTTATGACAAGGAAGCTACAGGATATGTGGACAAGGAGACCTTCTTCAAAGTCTGCGAGTCTCTTCATGTCCCGGTTGACGACTCCTTGACTAAGGAGGTTCGTATGAGCTGGGGATGACTGAGTGCTGATCGTTCCTTTCTAAACCAGTTCATGCGAATTCAGTTTGCACTGGGGAAGACTTAGGATATTCAAGTCAGATCTCCTACTCTCTTCTGGTTATGGTATTTCCCCCTGATCCTGGCACTGGGATTCTTTTCTAATTGTTGTTTCAGGGCATCTCTTTAAGCAAGTCTGAGGCTAGGCAGCAGAGAGTGGCAGGTAAACTAACATGTCAGGGCTGAAGGATGGCAATAGAGATGATCTTGGAGGAGAGGCTGCCAAGGGAAGATCCCAAGATAAGTCGATTGAACAGGATGGTTGGCAACCTTTGATGCCCTTTTCAGCCAATACCTTCCTTAGCTCATCAGAAGTGCTAGCATGGAAGAGGACATGACCACTGCCCAAGAGCAGTAATGTTTGTCATGTAGCAAGGCCAGAGGTAAATAGAGACTGTGTGGAAGTTTCCTTTCTAGAATTTTTGTGTGACTTAATGGAGTACCATGCCTTTCCTTCTTTCTAAATCCCTTTAGCCAAGATTCTCCTGAAAACCAGAACAAAATCTCCCCTACACTGGCCAAGGATCCTGGCTTACTATCACCAAGACACTGTCACTGATTCCTGTAGACCTTCTTGATGATCTTTAAGTCAAAAGGGGAGTTCAGGAATTAAGACTCATTTAGGAAAAAGGAGTCTGTTTAGGACTAAAGAGATTAGGTTGGCACTGTGAATTTTTTAAAGACAGGAAAATTAGCAAGGAGTGGGGCAAGGCAGCTGGGAGTACAGTTGTTCAAGTGGGCTTGACACCCATTTAACCCCAAACCTTAGGTTGATGGCCCAGTTTGGATTTTCAGATTGTTCACACTATATGACATGGGAAATGACACAGGAAGAATGGCAGCCATTGTGAAGTGAGACAGGGACAGGGCAAGTGGAGGTAGATTTGTCTATGTCTTATAAAGATAACCACAAATAATCATTGTTCCCAGCCACTCTTGAGTTTCAGGGGACACAGGGTAGTCAATGACATAACCACATTCTATTAGGCTATGATGACAGGAACCTGTTGTTTAGAAGTCTTACTTCCTGGTGGGCAAAGACTTATATTTGAATAATATAAAGAGTTAAAAGTGCTTTGAAAATGTCAGTGTCCTCATAAATACCAGTTAGGCCTTGGGCATTTACTCCATCCAGCTTTGGTTTCATATGATGGGGATGATGTTCCCTCTACCTACCAAGTTCACAGGACCATTTCCAAGTCAACTGAGGATACAAACACTGCAGTTAAGGTAAAGAAAACGCCACATATGTGTCCCACCTGTTCTCTCTATTCTCTTTTACAGTTAATCAGGATGTGCTCTCATGATGAAGGCAAGATTAGCTACTATAACTTTGTCCGTGCTTTCTCAAACTGACCTGGCTGATGAGAGAACGCAATAGAGATTTTTGATATTGGACCTATACTTGGAAATATACCTTTTGTTCTTTACAGAGGCATTTACAGACGTCTTGGTTATTATATTTCACTACTCCTAAAGTCTAAAATAAATTGATTTTTGTAGGATCTAAGATTAGTCCCTTACTTGGGATAGTAAGTGTACTGTGATGGTTATATTCAAGTGCCAACTTGAGGACCACAGGGTGTCCAGATATGTCATCAAACATTATTCTGAGTGTGTCTGTGAGGATATTTTTGGATAAAATTAACATTTGAATTGGTAAATGAAGTAAAACAGATTGCTCTCCTTAAAGTGGGTGGGCTTCACCCAATCATTTGAAGACCTGATTAAAGAAAAAAAAGAAAAAGCTGGCTGTCTCCTGAGTAACTGAGAATCTTTCAAGCTGTGATATGGCCTTTTCCTGCCTTCAAACTCAGACTAAGATATCAGACCTTCCTGGCCCACCATGAACTCTTCTGGGTCTCCTGCTTGTAGACTCACATTGAAGATCTTGGGACTTGTCAGCTTCAGTACTCACACAAAACATGTCTCATAGTGAATCAACCTCTGTGTGTATGTGTACACACACAGGCACACCTTCTATTGGTTCTGTTTCTCTGGGAAACCATGATACAGATGTAAAATGGTTAAGAGCAGGAGAAATGATAGAATTTTCTAGAAACATTTGGGATGGCAAAGTAAGTGCACAGTGTCTCTGTTCCTGCTAGCTAGTGGCTCCATCTCTGCCCACTGCCTGCCCTAATATTGTGGGAAGTACACTGCACGTTCTTCAAAGTCTGGTCCTAGGCCCATTAGTAGACTTGTGCTTTTGCAAAAATGGAACATAATAGAAAATACCAGTGTAGTAGACATAGTATGGTATACATTTTCATAAAACCTGTTTGTACTGAACCTGAGTTTACTATTCAGTGTCATGATGTAAAGCACACACACACACACACACACACACACACATATACTTTTTTTTTTCCTGAGGCAGGGTCTCAAACTGGCCTCAAACTCGTGATCTCTCTGCCTCAGCCTCCTGAGTGCTGGGATTATAGGTGTAAAATGTATTTCTTGATGTGGGTTTTAGTTTTTTTCTTTTTAAAGAGTAAAAAGCACTGCTGGCCTGGAGACAGGAGGGAGCATCTCATAGCAGTTCCTGACTTATAACGACTTGATTGACTTTTTACAGCCACAGTGGCTCTTTACTTGAGCTCAGCCACCAACCTCGTATTTTAAAATGCCATCTCCAATTCCTCCCTGCCACCAAAGTGTGGCATTGATGCAGATGCAGTCACACAGGACTCGGGGTGCTGGGCCTCCCTGAACAGCTAGGTAGAGGGGGCTCCCTGGTTTTCTCTTTGTGAGCTAAGCCCCCTCTAGCCAGCTACCTAAAGGGTATTGTTGACTTCTTTTCTGCTCTAGGTCATTATCTCAGGAATAACTCTTGTTTTGTTTCCTTCAGTCATAACTATTTAATTTTCCTTTTTTTTTTTTTTTGTGGCAGTGGGGTTTGAACTCAGGGCTTTTACCCTGAGCCAGTCCACCAGCCCTATTTTTGTGAAGGGTTTTGCGATATTGGGTCTTGTGATCTATTTGCCTGGGCTGGCTTTGAACCACGATCCTCCTGATCTCTCCCTCCCAAGTAGCTAGGATTACAGGCGTGAGCCACCAGCACCTGGCTAAAATTTTCCTTTTTTCAAGTACTTAGAAAGTCCAGTTCAGCTTGAACAATCCTAAACTCTATCCTGCTTGCCCTGGCTCAGTTCTGCCCCAAGCCTAGAAGCCTTTAGTGAAGAATGTTGGACAGGTATGGTCCTTCCTCTGCTTCTGGAATTGCAGGGTCTAGGGAAGGTTAAATGGTACAACCATGTTTCTGTGGCTGCTTAATGTTATACTTGGGGTCAGGGCTCTCTTGAGAGGCATAAGCCCAAAGGCTGGCTCTCTCTCCGAGGATACCTTCTTGGGGAGCCCTTAGGTCACTTTTCCACAGTAAACCACCTAGTGCACCTCATCCGGTGTCCAACTGACTGCCCTGATCTAATAGGATGCTCCCCCAGGCTCCTCTCATCCTCTCAGAAGGGCTTCTAGCTGTGGGCCTTCCAGGGTGTCCACTCCTGCCCAGCATTCACTCTCAGAAGGCTCTCATATGAAATTAGGAAGCTCACTCCTTTTCCTTTAGACTTGTTTTAGGTGAGAATCGGGCCCCCAAATTTTATGCTTTTCATATCCAGGGAGCACATCAAGTGGAATCCTAAAGCCCCTTCACTTGGCTTGCAGGACCACAGCCTGCTTATAGACTTCAAGGAATCTACACACTCCAATACTTTTCCCATCCCCGTGGAAGAGGAAAGTTCACAGAAGCTTTGGCCTCTCCCAGCAAACCTGTCATGGATCAATAGTCGGCAGCATGTGGAAATACTTCCCAACTTTCACCCTCAGCTCTGGACCTTGGCTGAAATGGAGAAGTAGGAAAGTCTCATTTAACACCCTTTTATTAACCTTTTGAAAATGAGCACTCCATAGCCCTTCCTCGTTCTGACCAATCTATTTTCCTTTATCTTTTCAACTAGACACAACATAGGTATCTTTTTATTGAGTGTAATAGGAACTAGTATTAAAATGCTAGCTCTACTGTAATTATTAGAAGTGTCTTAGAGCTGTCTTGCAGAGGGTTGGAACCACTCACACATTCCATAAGCTTTCCACTCCTTACCTTGCATCTCTGTCCAAGTTTACCCAAGACTGAGAAGTTAAGATCTGATAGTACCATCACAAAGGTATGAATGCTACCTTGAAAGACCACAGCCAGTAGGCCATTCCTGTGGGGCCTCACACTCACTGCTCACCGCTGGTCATTCACAAAAAGCAGCAAGTATAGGAACCACCAGTCAGAGTAAATCACTTTCCTACCCAAGTCCCGAATGGTAGTGTAACCATTAGGTGTCACTAATTACTGTATGCCACCAGCATAGCCGGCACACATCCTGGGCTGTTACTGTGGGAAGAATAAATGACCATCACTTCAGATCAGTCGCCAGGCAGCTGAAGCAGGAAGAGAATTAGCACTACCACTTAGAGTTTGCAGTGGAGGCACACTGCTAGTTATCAGATTTAGCCGAGGATGCATCCAAGACTGGCCTATGGCTTGAGGGTCAATGAAATCTGCTTCATGGGTGAAGATTGGCTGAGTTAGCCACTACTCAGTCCTGGCTTGTATCCTGAATGCACCACTAGGGGGCCTTGGCAGTACCATCTAGTAATTAAGGTGGATCAATCCCATATCTATAGGCTTTGACGGTACTTGGGACCAAGAAGCAGAGAAGACTTTGCTTAACGATGTTTCCAGAGACACGGGGGTCACTGAGTAAGTGATTCTTGGCTATCCTATTGGGGACAAGCACAAGCATGTTCATAAAAAAAACAAAATGTATTGACTGCTTCAGTGTACCACAAACAGCATTCACTATCGCCATCTCCAGAGACAAAAGTAAAACCCCAAGTCACAGACGAGCAGAGACTCAGAAAGGTTAAGTGCTGGAGGTCACCTAACACTTGTGCAGAGCAGGACTCAAACAAAAGTCTTATCAGAGCTTGCTGCCCATTTCTGCTCCTTGCCTTCACCTCAAGTGAATGTTCCTGGGTAACTCACACCCAGTGGGTGACCTTAGCTAACTCTCACCAGTAACTGCACTCATCTCCTGTACTCTCTTCAAAGATGGTTCTGGAAACTGTGGGTAGCAGCAGAACACCTCGGGACATCAGCAATCCCTACTGCTACTGCTGTTACTAATACTGGGCCATATGTTAGTCAGCACCAACATACTTGGTGGCTTTTAACACACAGTGAACCCATTTCCAAGCTACATGACTTCACAGACCAGCAGGCATTAAGCATGGAAGGTTCTCTTATGCAGTGTCCTGCCTGCAAACTCCATGCTAAGCGAATCCCTCTTCTTTACTGTGTTTGATTAAATAAAGATGGTGCCATTACTGTACAGCACTCAGTGTAACTGACTCCATCCTCAATTCCAGTTCCCTGAGTCACAGCACCACAATGGGCAGCTGATCTCAAGGAAGGCAAGAAATGACTTTGAAGTGAAAAATTTTAGATGTGAGAGCTAAAATAGAGGCAAACTCATTTTTCAAGTGAAAGCAAATTTAAATATCCAAACTGAAAAGCATTACCATATAAAAGCATGTGGAGGAATTATACCAGAGATAAGTAAGAAAGAATTCTATGCTTTTTATTCAGGTTTTCAGAAAATATTTGATCTTTGTTTCAAAATGTACATTAAAAAAATCCATACAAAACTGTAATTTGTTTTTAAAACCAGACAGAAACAGTGGAAAAAGGATTTTGAGAAAGTTCACCAAAAGTAAAAAGACACCCCTCCCCCAACCCTTTTACACAAAAGCATAAATACGGCAGGTACAAATTTTCCTTGAGTTCCTTGTTGAAATTTGGTCCGTAACATGAACAGGCTAAAGTAGAAAAACAGAGAGACAATCTGTCCGCGTTTGCATTATGAGTTGCTCAGGGCACCAGCAGCCTCGGCCTGTCCTTCAGATGGTTATTCAACAGAGCAACTGAAAAGTGAGGTTTACAGTCCTATCACGCAGACAGTCCACACACAACGGCATGTGGCACTCTACCACAGCCAGGCCCTGCGGGGAACAGGGCTCGCCACCTGTGGCCGGTTCTCGGAAAAGCCTCCATCCTCTCCACCCCAACAAGAAAACTCTGGAATGATTTTAGGCAGAGTGATGATGATGCCACAGGCACCACAACGGATCCTATTCCCAGACACTGCCTGATGTCCCATCCCCAGAGGATGGCTTTCTTCCTTTCCAACAAATTTAAAAAACAAAAACAAAAACAAAAAAACACACTTCTAAGATGATACTCCATGTTCTACAAGAGTGCCACAGAAACCCACCCAGGATCAGGATGACAGCAACAAAGGGAAAGAGGCGGACTTTTCTTCTGGAAGGGGCGACGACTCCCCCCATCCCTTATTACAGGGCATTGTAAGGGACAGAAAGGCCTGTGGGAAAGACCACTGGCTGGGAGGGTTATTGCACAACCCGGAAAAGCAGAAACAGGCAGGCGGGCAGGGGAGGAGTAGGGAGGGGGTTGCAGCTCCTGTTACTTGCACAAGGTACTCTTGAATCAGGAGCTCCAACAGTTCTGCAACTGCCAGTCCAGACACACTGTCAAACAGGTCACCAACAAGTTAATACTGGGGACTAGGGAGCACAGCACACATTGTCCTCATACACACTCTGGGTTGAATGAAAAGTGAAATGGATGGAAAAGGTTCAAGCCAAGGTACCTTGTTTCTAACCCAGGCTTGGGGTGGGCTGAGGGAGACTGAAAGAACAGGACTTGCTGTGAGGGGCCAGAAGCCTGGAGCTGGGGGTGGGGGGGCTGAAGTCCCCAAGCTTCCCTTATTAGGTATAGGCACGGATGCATTCAGTGTGAGCCACCTCAGGCTTCTATGGCCACCGGCCAGGCCAGAAGGGAACTGACACAAGGGGGAAACCAGAAACAAAGCAGATAGTGCACCAGACCTACCACTGTATGTATGGATGTGCCCGGGGGGGGGGGGGGTGTGTGTGTGTGTGTGTGTGTGTGTGTGTGTGTGTGTGTGTGTGTGTGTGTGTGTAGGGGTCCAGAACAAATGAGGCAGAACTGTCAATCCATGTCCCTTTTATATGTAACTGTACTGAGGTACTGTGTCCTCGGCAGCAAGTGCCAAGTGCCAAATAGCCCTAGATCCCTGGCAGCTGGGGACTGGCCGTACAGGACAAGTGAAGGCTACACAGTAACGTAAGGCACTTATTATACAAAAAGAACAAGGATCAGCTTAGGACAAGGACAAAAACGCTGCAAGGAGTTGCTGAGCACAGAAGACTGCATAGAGTCTGAAAGTCTGAATGCTTTTCTTCTTCATGGCTGTGCTGATTGTGGGACCCCGGACCCCCATAATACAGTGTAAGAATACTTGCTAACACTCAGGCAAGAAGGAAGGTGAAGAGTAAGAAGAGTAAGAAGTTCTTCCCAAGGCCAATCACCAGTTGGAGAGGAATCCTTCTGATGCTTTTCAAGAGATCTAACAATGACCTAATTCTCCAGTTACCCCCAAAGCCCTCTTCCAAGGAAATAGGCTGTAAGTGTGGGAAGCAGAAGGAGGGGAGAAAGACCACGCAGCTGTCTTGACTCACAGGCCTTCAGCGCTCTCCCCATCGGTGATGAACAGAGGCTCTAGGAGACCAAGAACTAAAGTTTGTCCATTTGGGACACTGAGGCCCTTAGGCAGGGAAGACTCCCCTACTCTCCCCCACCCCAGGCCTAGGCAAAACCAACTGCCAAGGCTGAAGCATATAAAACAAATTCACACCAAGGCCTTCCCTAAGTCCTAAGGGGATTGGCAAGGCTCTTCTAGCTAAAGCACCCGTAGACTGTAACAACACTGTGCAAGTTCTGGAGGCCTTGCACTCTCTCTGCCCTTACAGCTTTCTCATTTGCCACTCAGAAAAGCCAAGGCGAATACTTTGGCTTCCTACATGTGGGTAAGTTCTGCCTGGAGACAGGAGCAGGTGAGGTTCTCAACAACTATTTAAGTCTGTTGCCCAGGCACAGACATTGGGCGAGGACTGACTACGGTAGGAAAGAGCAGGTTCCCTAGGGCTCTGCCTGCTCCCCTCTCCTCCAAAACCACCCCCTATGTTCAGGAGAAGCACATGGAATGCATTAATAGTACAGCTATCAGAGCCTGAATGGTAAAAATAACTTTCCCATCACAGAACCTCCTAGGAAGAGACTAGGCAGCGGGCGATCCTCCATCCACTGCCTCCCTCTCCTACCACTGCCATCTGCTGGCGTCCCTACGCAGGCATGCCACCAGGGACAGGGACGTGAGAGACAGGGATTGCTGAGGTAGATAAGCATTTTCTGCTCTTGGTGGATGGTGTGAGCCGGCCTCTCAAATTCAGATGGGTCTGGAGGGTCTTCATAAGGGGCTTGGCACTTTGAAAATAAGAGAGATTGCAAGAAAATGAAGAAAGTAGCCACAGTGCCCAAATGAGTAAAAGCTAGCCCAACATGTGCACAGGATGAAGTGGAACTGAATTATTTCACCTCTGGCAACATGGTTTCTGTCAACCTGCCAAGACTTGGCTTTGCTATGACATAAAATGTGCCAGGGAGGCTGGTGGAGATAAGAAAGTACCATGCTTATTACTGACTAAGCCCTTAAACCTCCCAAAAGCCCAGGCTGGTGAGATGTTGGCCTTACCTGTGGTCTCGGCGCCTTTTCTTTTAATGTAGAATAAGATTTTACTAACTCCCATCAACGAATAAAGAAAACAGAGCCTAAGTGAACCCCAGTCACTGGGTTCCTGGTACCACATCCAAGGCACAATCAACTGAAAGCATGGGAAACTGGCAGGAGACTTAAAACACGAAATCATGTCATCTCTGGCACCCAAGTGTTCTGGGTCAGAGCAAAACCTACACACATGAGAATGGGCCTCCCGAATCCAAGACTTCAGCTGTTCTGCCTAGCCTCCTGCAGAGAACTGTCAAGTCCCCATCACTGACAGTCAGGGAGAGACCTCATTATGGTGTCTAGGCTAATGGGGGAAGAAGATCGGCTTGGGGCAGCTGGCTGAGCCCCTTCATGTGCAGTTCCAGGCAGGGCAAGGAGCGTGAGCAATTCCAGTAGCCTACATTAGGCTACTGGATTGAAATGGCTGAGGGGTTCCCAATCAGATCAGCTGTGATGCCCTGAGAAGAATCAGGGAAGAAAAGGGAAACACATACTTTCAAACCTGCTTGCCTGCTTCTTAAGGATGACCTAAACAAGTCAAGAGTAGCTCTTCCAAATTCTGCATGCTTATCCTGGACAGAGAGGTGAAATTCTACAATAATGTTTGAAAACCAATCCCTCAGTTATTGCTAAGTTGAACTTTACCCATGTTGCAAGTGACTTGGAGAAGGAAAGCTTCCCATCTCCCTCTTTCTGGATAAAAATCCAAAGTCTTGTCTATGATGTCAGAAAGAGGACCAGTATACCAGGTGATATTAACATTCTTGTACCACCAAGAACTGCTCCCCTATGCCTCAGCAGAGTTCAGTTTTTAAATTAGGACCCTTTAAAAAGCCTACCTCTCCTCTGGAAGTCATCAGAAGGCCCACCAGGACCTGGTGACCTCTTCTTCAGTTGGAAGGGAGAAGAGAGAATACTAGAGGGAGAGAATTAAGATCCTGTGGACATGGCTGTCTGCTCATCCAAGCAGAAGAATGACTCTGAGTGATCCTGGTTCCAGGCTGTAGGTGTGCTCAGCAAACATTAGCAAATGACAATTCCAAAGAATACTCAACAAGCAAAGCCACAGGGAGGATAGCCAGATGACCCTCCCTGGGACACCAGGGGATGGGTGTGAGGCTGGAGCCCTTGAGGCTTAGTATTTCTGCAGAGAGAGAGAGACAGAGAGAGAGAGAAAGAGATGAGGCAAGGTAGCAAGTTGGGCCCCTGACAGGGCTGGCTGGTTCTGGACTGTAGACCAGCATATCTCAGGCGGGTTTGTTAACAGTTTGGTTTTGAACGCTGGTGAACGACTGAAGCAGCAACGGCAACTGGCACTGCTGAAGGAAAGCCCAGGTCGACTCCCCCATTGTTGCTGTGGCACCACCTTCTCCAGAAAAGCCTGCTGCCTAGCATGTTTTGCTCTTGCTCTAGAAGCGGAAGACTTGTCTTCTGTTAACGCTTACCCCCCAGAGCAAGAGCAGGCTGGTTTCCCATCCAAGTGCAGCACTGGTAAGCTCTCTGGAGTCACAGGACCCAACAGAATTAAAACTGTCCTTCCGGACTGAGTCGTATTCACAATGAGCAGCGGTGACTGTGCCTCAGGGTGGTATGTGTAGAATTGGAATGATACATCTCATCAGTTCATCAGCACCAAGAAGACTATGATCCAAGAGGGCCGGCCTCTCCTCTTCCTGCCCATCCACACGAGGACCACCAAGGGACCTGCTACTGCTCCTAGGCAAAGCTCCTTGGCATGAGGTTTCCAGATTGGCAGGTCCTGGGACTGATGGACAGGACTGCAATCTTAGCTCCCTCTCATTGTAAAAATCCAGCACAGAAAAATCGCAGTTAGGTAAGGTCAAGAAGTAAAGACAAAAAGCAGCAGCCATGAAGGAAGAGGAAGAAGAGGAAGCAGACAGCCACGAGAATCTAGGCTTCTAGAAAACCCAACACAGGACAGAGGCGAGGCCATAAGGTGGCTAGAGGGAGCGAAAGAGGAAGATTTTTGGCTTTATTGAAAACGGTTTATGGAAGAATGAGAAAAGAAAGCCAAGAAGTCAGAGAGAGAAAACCCCCTTTGAAGACAGGTCTCTGCTACTGGAGCATCATGAAGAGGAAGGAGAGGCAGTGCTGGGGGCCTGGGCTCCATGCCTCCCAGCTGGGCCCCCACCATGAGGAGTCCTGTTCTCAGCACTTTGGCCTTAGGGAGACTTGAGTTTCTTAGTCCGTGGGGAGGTTCCATTCTCTGCTTTCACCACTCCATTTTCATGGTAACCTGGGGAGTGGAAAGAGACAGACATACATGGGGTTTCTGCTGGGATTGAGGTAGGAGAACAGAGGTTGGGGCCGGTCTGAGGTGAGGGGCCACCACACCCAGCTGCTGCACATGGATGGACCAAAGGGGTACTGGACTGCAGCTTCCCACAGCAGGTGCAAGCCAACAGACAGTTCTGAGCTGTTCCAATTTTCATGCTTTCCCGTGTCCCCACCCCCACCCCTGCTTCTTTATCACATTTGGCTGCATATGTGTCTGGCTCAAATACACACAAATTCTTGTCAGGCAAGTGGCTGCCTAGAGAAAGGCAGGCGAGTCAGAAAACAGGTCCTGCTGCAAACAGGTCCACAGGCTGGACAGAAAGTGCAGGCTGGGATGCCCAGGGACCTGTGGGGTAAGTGATCACTGCAGTGTGTGTGCAGGGGTGAATGGAGAAGTAGGTGTCTCATCCCTGCTGCCCATCTAGCACTATGTCACTGTGAGTTACTCCTGAAGACAGAGGAGGATCCAACACATGGGAGGCAGGGGCAGGTCAAAATGCAGAGCACAGGGGCAGGTGAGGACACAGGGCATGGGCGGTGGTGATGGCAGCAGAAGAACTTGGCTATGCACCAGAAGCTACCCAGAGGACACATTTCTTGCCAGTGGTCCCCACCCAGTGCTACTCTGTCCCAGTGGCCAGGGCTCCAGTCCGGTTAGGGACAGCCCCACCCACATTTGGTCCCTGGCCCATGCCCAGCCATGTGCCACTCAGGGGCACTCAGGCCCAGGAAGGTAGTCAGGAAGGAGGAGGCAGCAGGTCTGGTGTATGGAGCTCCTAAAAGTCAGGCCCTGGCTCCTCCTCACCCATCCCAGACAGACCTCATTCGCTCTCTCCCTGCTGTGGGCTGGCACTCACCATATTCCCTCTTGACGAGCCTGGCTGGCAGCCTAGGCGCAGCTGGGACTCTCCGCTTGGCACTCTGCTCATTCCAATGCTCTCGCCAGTGCCGCAGCTGGGAGTGGATGAAGCGCCACATAAGCCAGGCCTGGGTGGTACACACCAGCAGCAGCAGGCAGAGTCTGCAGAGCAGAAAGGGGCAGGCCTGAGGGTGGACACGGGAGACAAGGCCAGGACCCTGCAGCTCCTGTGACCTGCCCTTCCCTCACCCCCACTGCCATTATCAGAGGAAGGGAGTGTGCTCTGGTCAGTCTCCGCTCCAGCAGTGGTGAAGTGATGGATCCAGAGAGATGTGGAAGGAGGCAGTGACAGGTCCAGCTCTGCAATCACAGTATTTCCAAGCCTGGGGAATCCATGGCCATGTCTCTTTCATATGCACAGCACAGAGTCAGGCTAATGTAGGCCCCACAAACATTGGTAGAATTCCAATAAACTGAATTATGATCTAGCTGAAATAAGTGAATGACTGGTTTCTCATCTAGTATGTCGTTTAAAAGCAGAACAACCCTGGACATCACATTCCCTCTGCAGCCTATGGGCTTAGGGAAACACATGGCTTCCTCACTGCCTTCCTTGCTGCCAGGCCACTGGCCAAGCTGTGGAGGACAGTTTTAAAGTGTCCAAGATCTGTGAGACTGGATAAGCAATCTCTAAGTGCTGCACAAACCTAAGGTATTTGTATCTGTATTAAGATTCTCACTGCACTCTGAGCAAACCAGCGTCAGCAAGTGAAGAAGGTTTTAATGGAAACACAAGGGTGGTATTTCGTCTTGTTCTAGATCTCATGTCCAAAGATTTCCACTAAGTATATATGTGGGAGACTCAAGGATCTCCTTCCTCCTAACTTATGGAAGTTGTTTAGGAGGCTTCATGAAGTGCTCAAAAACCTGTGTTCATCACTCTAGGTTTCTGCCCAACTCACCTACAAAGCAATGTGTTGAAGTTCCCTTTCTCGGGGTCAAACGCCTGGTTTTCCACGCGAGCCAGTCCAAAGCCAATGGCCAGCACAGTGAGGGTGAGGATGAAGAGGCGTGTGACCCCAAACACAGCAGCCCAGGCATTGAACCTGCTCACAGAGGCAGAAAAGGGATATCAGCCTTTAGGGTCCTTTAAGGAACCTCCACCCACTTCTCCAGAAGCAACCTTGAGTGGGAAGGGGACTAAAAGTGCTTAGATAAGTGTTTGAGAGGTGTCTAGAATGAGATGCTCCAGAAAAACAATAACGTCAGGATGCTTCCTGTAGACAAGTGGGAACTTATACCAAGCTGAGACCTCTAATCATTTAGGCCTCAGAGGAGACCAGGACCCCACCCCCCCAAGGCCTCTGAGCAGGCCAGCCCCCAGCAGCCCCACTTACAGCTTCTCGTTGTTTTCGTCGGCAAAGTAGAAGAGGCGAGCCATGTGAAAGAGGAACTCAGTTGAGTACTGCAGCAGCAGCAGAATCAGACCCAGGCGGCTCAGGCTGCAGGGGCAGGGGGGTGAAGAAGGAGGTGAGTCCTTACCCTCTCCTACGACACAGCAGAGCAGAGCCGCGCCTGGGCTCTGCATTCCCCACCACCTTCCTGGCTGGCTCTACCTCATCTATTACGAGTCAGCTTAGCTTCTGTACCTTTAGGAAATCTTCTTAAACTGACTACCTGGCCTTTCACCTGTTCTGACTCAGGCTCCTCATAGCACAGCAGTACCTTCTTCTCACCATCTGCTAGAACCAAGCATGTACAAGGTGCTCAAGACAAGTGCGCTGAGCCTCCACTGTAGAAGTAAGAAGGGTTACTGCTAAATTCTCATTATGTGAGTCCTCCAGCTGAGGTATGTGGGAAGCAGGAAACACTCCTCCGACTTGGTCATCGCAGACACCGCTATGGCAGCTACAGACCCATTCTGGATATGAACCATGAACATCCAGCACCAGAGCTAAACTAACACACACAAGCCTGGGCCTCTCACAGACCCATTTGGGAAGTGCCACAACTCCAGGTCTTCAGAGACAGGAGAAGAGAGTTTGAGAGCTGCCTGCCCCCAACTCTGTTAACCCAAGTCAGTAGTTCTCTCATGGTACCTGCTGTGAGGACCTTGGAGATGGGGTCCAGCACCTCCAGAAACCTTAGCAAAACTTTCAAATGTCAGCCTAGAGAAAGTGCAGGGTTTTCCCCTATCCTGCATGGATAAAGGTCAAGAAAAGCTGTTCATCCATGATTATTATTGTTTTTTAAAAAGACCCTCAATGGTCTAATATCATAGCAACTCTATTTCTAGAACAACCACACTGTAAAGTACTCTCCATTTCATTATAAACCAAAGAGTAGAGACTCCCAGGACTAAGATCTCTGGCAATATCTGGACACCAGGAGGCAAAAGCTCAGCTTTCAGCTGGACTTTAGCCTGCAAAGTCCTGGCTCAAAGGTGAATATCTATCAGAAGTCTTCCCTAGCTCTCTCAGGTTGAGGTTATCACTCTTCTGGGTCGCCATGGCCGAGGGTAAATACTTGATTACAGTGCCTATTACAGTAAACTCTCCTTACCTATAACTGTCTTTTCTATCAGGGAAAGAACGAACTATTGAAGGAAAAAGAAATCTTCCCTTATCCTTTTTCATATTTCCAAGTCTTAGCATGGTACTCAGCACACAGATGGCATCTAATCAATGCCTGCCAGTTGAGTGGTTGCGTGGATAGGTTTGAGGGCACAAGAAGGCGAGGAAGTCTGACTGACTCAGGGTCTTACTCACTTTAAGAGGTATGCTCCAGCTATGTGGACCAGGTACAGGCAAATATACTGGAGCTGGCGGGGAATTTCCTCCTGGAAACAAGAGAGGCAGACGGTAAGTTTGCTCATTCCCTAACTGAAGTACAGAGGGACAAGGAAGGCCAGGTCCCCCTATCCCTTCAGAGCTGGGTGGCTTTCACATACAGTCCCACCTCACGCCAGAGTCTCATGCCCTGGGCTGCTGAAAAGTCCAACGGTGAGGCAGCAGCTTTGGATCCAGTGTCAGAGGGCAAAGTTTGGGTTGAAAAAGAAGAGACAGACTGGGGAAGAGGGCTTTTGGAAATAATTCAGAAGGAAACTACTTAAAAAAAAAAAAAAAAAGGTGTGGGAATGGCAAAACCTGTCCATCCAATTAGAAGTTAAATTTTTCCCCAAGCTACACATCTGGTGGAGGAGGAAGGCGGGTAACAGACTGACTCTGGTGGTGCAATCTTATGGTGCAATCTGCATGGGGCTTCTACAAGACCTGATTCCACATTTCCATCACTGGCCAACACTCCCATTCTTCCAGAAGAAGGGAAGGGAGGTAACCCCTGGGAATAGCAGGAGGGAAGTGGAGAACATGAAGACTCCAAGAGGGGTCAGGAGAAGTGAGTACTCACCTTCCGTACCTTCTGGAAGTAAAGCTCAGGAAGTGCGTGCAGCCAGTAGGCCACCTGGCACAGGTAGAAAAACTTCACCTGGAAGCTGGAGACAAGGCAGCAAGTCATACAAGTGAAGCAGACCAAAATATCCCCTCAGATGCTTGTCCAGCTCATAAGTGAAAAGCTAAGGCTGTATGTGAGGAGCTGGTCCAGGAGCAAGGGAGAGGTCAGCAACCACCACATCCACAGTGGCTGTGCCATATAGAAGACCACTTAACGGGACACAGCAAATCCATGGAAAGAAGCAGGAGTGATTAGAAGTAGACAAAGGAGAGTGGTCTTCAGCCTGGAAGAGGGAAACCTGAGGAGGCTGCTGATTACAGAGCACTGTGACCACTGAACATACTAAACAAATGAATGGCTCTACATTGCAAAGGAAGAATCTAGCCTAGCTCCTCGTTCTTGGCTCGGAGAGGCCCAGGTCTTGGAGCACCAGAGAGACAGGGGATGCTGCTCAGATAAAGCATCGGCCACAGAGGGATAAAAAGGAAGATGTGCTGTGAACTTGAGAGGGTCACCAAGAAGGCACAAAGCCAGAGAAATTTATGGAGAGTTCTGCTTTGTATCTGTCACCTATGGTCTAGGTACCTGTGTGGGAAAAGCTAGGACCTTTGCAGATTCAGATATCAAGCATACTGGAAAGAAGCAGTCCCCAGACAGAACACTGCCCATAACCCTATTCCCTAATGGACTCAGGGCATGATCTGATCCTCATGTCAGCAGGCCTCCCTCAGTATTCTGGCCACATTCTGGGACACTAGATTGGTGGACAGCTCCATCTTCCTGGGGACAGAGTCGAGAATACTCACGAGAGGTACACATGCGGGTAGTCTTCCCAGAGGCTTCTTGGGTTTGTTAAGTACCCTTCCTGTGGTGGGTGAGAAGAGAAAGAATTTAGAGATGTGCCATGCTACCTACTGGGGTCCTGGGTTCAGGGGTATGGAATGTACCCAGCCCCCACCTGCTGGAAAGAGGAAAGAAGAGGAAACATGAAAACAAAGGGCTTCTGTGTGGGGGACTGCTAGCACTTGTGTAATTGTGAAAGCATCATGATGCAGTGTGAAGTGCTATGCTTTGGGGTTGAAGACCTGCATCTGAACATGGGGCTGACATTTACTTGCTACATCTGCTGAACAAGTTTATTCGTCTCCCTCAGATCCCATCGGCCCATCTACAAAATGAGGATGAAGAACCTATATTACAGAGTTACTGTGGGATAAATGTGACAGTTTAGGTGACAGTGTCTAGTACTGTGCTTGGCAAGCATGCACTCAGGAAATGCTTACAGAATGAATAAGCAAATGTACTGGAGACACCAACCATGGGAAAACTAAAAAACCTAGCATGGATTTCAAACTGCCATGAATAAGAAGAATGAAGGAGCCTGTAGGCCATTCTGTGCACTTGGACTCTGACCCCTAGAACTATCTCCAGTCTCCACCAGTCTGTAAGTTCCTTCACACTAGGGCATTTTGTTGTCCTCCTTTGTATCTCTAGCATCTAGCCAGCACCTTGAACATACTAGGGTGAGGAATCTGAAACCCCATTCCCATTACAAAACATCTAGGAATACTGGGTGGAATCTAACAAGTATAATTTTACTTATTTTTATTTTATTTGTTTATGTAGGTGGTACTAGGGTTTGAACTCAGGGCTTCACACTGGATAGGCAGGCACTCTACCACTTGAGCTATGCCTCCAGCCCTTTTTGCGGTGGTTATTTTTGAAATAGGGTCTCACTTTTGCCCAGACCATCCTATATTACACTTTCCACGTTCCCTGGGGTAATGGACACACAACAGCATGAGCAGCTTTTGTTGTCGTTGTGATGGAGTCTCATAAACTTATTTGACCTGACTGGCCTAGAATTGTGATCCTCCTGATCTCAGCCTCTCAAGAAACTAGGAGTATAGGTATGAGCCACTGCTGATCAGCTCTAACAAATATAATCTTAAATACCAAACTGAAGGGAATAAGAAATAAGAAAGGGTAGCCCCCTGAGACCCAAAAGAGTAGAAGATAAAAGCCAGAACAGTGACACCATGAGATCCCAGAAAGCACTAGTCTTGGGACCACAGTGTTTATGCCTTGGGAGGTGGAACCTAACACCCTGGTAGAAAAAACTCGGGACCACTGAAGAGCTACAATCTTGGAGAAAGGACAGTGTAGAAAGTATCTGCTGACAAACATAGGGAAGTGAAGATGTCTGTTCAGCTGGGCCCAGGACAAAAACAAAAACATTTACCCTAAAAATCTGCAACATCAGCTGTGCCTTCATGAGGGTCTGCAGCTCAAATATATACCACCTGTATGGTCCAGAAACCACCAGACTAATAAACTGGTATTAACAGTATTGTGGACCAGAGTCCCAAAATACACTGCAGATAGACCCTCCACATCCAAGGATGTACAGCATTCCTGCAGATAAAACCTTGAGAGCATAAACCTTGAGTTTACGCTCCAAGATTACAAAACACAGGAGAAAACAATCAACACCCAGAGACACTCAGCTGACACAAGAGTCCACAAAAAACATACTGGTTGAGTGAATGGATGCTTTTGAAAAGTTTTTTGTTTTCCTGCGGTACTGGGGATTGAACTCAGGGCCTTGCGCTTGCTAGGCAAGCTCTTTACCACTGGGCTACATCCCAAGCCATGATGAATGCTTTAGACAATTTCTCTGTTCTGAAGAAAAGCAGAGCTCTTATTTGTTGGTTGGAGAAGTATGATCTCTTGTAAAATAAAAGAAATGAAGAAAGAGATAGGAAAAATGAGATGTTCTTTCAATAGCACAGCTGAAATATGAGCTAGGTCCAAACCTGCCCCTAAAACTTCAGGTCTGTTGCTTCAGTAAATGAGAAAGTCAGCTAAGCTGGTGGCTTTGATGAGAAGGCTGAGAACTGCAACTGTTCACCCTGGGATTAAGGACAGGAGAATGAGAAGGTCAACATGGCTTAGTGGGAAGAACCCTATGCTTTTTTTCTCTTGGGTCTGCAGTAGTGTTTCCAAGTGATGGCTGATCTACCCACCTTTGAGTGATCAAATACCCTCTGACCTATCAGCATGCGTTTCAGGTATTGTTCACAGTCCTAACACTACAACCTTGGGCCTCCAGGAACACAATGAAACATGGACCCATGAAGTAATGGCAACTTAGATTAGAAGGAAAGCCTTATGCCTCAATTATAATTTCTTCTCACTACCACCCCTCCTAATAGCTCACACAGACTGAGGCGCAAGATGCGGGGCTCTGGGCATTGGGGTGGTGGCAATGAACACTTCCATACACCAACATTGTTGCTATCTTCTGTCTGCCTCTCCTCCGTGCCATTCTCACATCTGCCTTCATCAGATCTCTGACCCCAGGCACAGCAACCCCTGGCCTTCCAAACTCTCTACCTCATTCCAAGGGCATCAGATGGGTGAGAACGCCCCTCCCTAGAGCAAGCGGCAATGTATTTAACAGGCAAAATGGTACTTTTGGGACTGAGATGGGAGAGAGCTTTCTGCCAAAAATTAAGAATCAAGAGAAGCAGCACTGTGTGAGCCCCACGATCTGGATGGTCTTGTGACTTTAAACAGGAACCCTCTTGGCTTGGCCTCTTTCTTAGGAGACAAAGAGGTCAGAACTTTGAAGCTGATGAGCCAAGAAAACTCCCCTGAAAAATGCTGCCTGCTTGCGAACGGCCAGTCCACTGGGACTGGAGGAGGGCAGGAGGAGAGCCAAGAGCTGGGGAGCCAGAGGAAAAATGACTCATTGCTCTGAGAACAGCCTTTTCCAGCCCTCTGTCCAGGCAGCTGTCTGAGGAAGGGCTGGGCTGGGCTGTCTCTGAGCTCAGGCATGCCAAGGTACCTGAGTTCTGGGACTGAGTGCAGCCAACAAGCACCTATAACCCCTTCTACCTCCCTCCACTGATGGGCCTCAGCAGATGGTATGGGGGAGCTCTCAGAATCATTTATTCTCTCCTGATTCTCCAAATCAACCTAGGAGCTAAGCAAGGCCTCAACATGCTAGAGGGATTCCCGTTTCCGGAGCAGTCTTTACTTTTGGTGCATGAACAAAAAGAACAACCCAAACATCAGAATCCAGACACAACACAGTCAGCTGCTACCTAGCCTCAGACATCTTATCACTGGTCCATTAGGAACAACCATGCCCTAAAAATCATCCCCAAAGCAAGTAGCCTGTTAGTAGCAACCAGTTCTGATACTAGGATCCCTCTACTGGGTTCTCGCCGACTAGTGGACTTTAAAATACAAAGACAGACAACACAAGAAAGTCAAAGAGAAGAGACCAAATCTCCTGCATTCTCCAGTGGAGTGTTTTGTTGTTGGTTTTGTTTTTTCCTGCCTTCTCTCCTCTAAAACAATGAGTAGTATATCAAAGATACACTGAAGTTTGTGGTTGACATGCTTCAAAAATCACTGGGTGGTCCAACCACGCTCCTAGCACTCTACCTATATATATATTAGGAAAAACATCTGAATCAAACACCCAGCTACAGCTGGTATTTTTGGTGGGAAGGATTGGGGTACATTCTCCTCTCTCTTCTGAACTTTTCTACATTGCTTTTTGAAAACATAATCATCTACGATGCTTATGAAGCCATCAATTCATTACTTTAAAACGTTTGTTGAAAGCTAGAAAAATAAGATGCACGTGCAGTTTCTTAATCATCCTTACAGCCAGTATTAGTTAGCACTTAGTATGTGAAGGCACCGTACTAGGGGTACAGCAGTAAGTGAGGTGCCCGCTAGCAGCCCAGGGTCCAGTGGGAGAGACAGACCCAGCAAATGAACCAGAAAACACCAATAATGGGTGCAGCACAGAAAATGCAAACGGGGAGGGTGTTCTGGAGAGGTGACATTCAGGTGGACACTGGATGGCAGGAAGGAGCCTGCCATTGGGAGTCTGTGCATGCAGCACTTTGGCAGAGGAAACAGCAGTGCAAAGCCCAGGAGGTAGGAATAGCCAGGAGAGCTAGAAGAGCAGAGGTGAGAACAGTGGGGCTGCATCCTTTCAGATGAGACAATCAGGGCCTGCAGGGCCCAGGTTCCATGAGTGAAGAAGAAAAAACAATTTCACTGCAGCTGTGAAGGGACTTACTTTCAGCAGGGGAATGCATGATTTGGCTTATGTTTTAAACAGATCCATCTGGCTGAGCAGATAATAGGTTGGGTGGGAGGGCCCAGCATGAAAGAAAGCAGCCTCCTTCTGGAAGGAAGCTATTCGGTAGTGTACTGGGTAGAGATGATGGGGGCTTGGACTTCACAGCCCTGACACTACTGAAGTCTGGGGCCAGATTCTTCACGATGGGGCTGTCCTGTGCTTTGAAAGATAGTATCATCCCTGTCTAAATGTCCCCTGAAGGGCAAACTCTCCCTGGGTGCAGATCCAGTGGACTAGGGGTTAGCAGTGCAGGTAGAAAGCAGCAGACAGAATTTCAAAGTATTTTAAAGATACAACTGGCAGGATCTGCTGACGAACTGACTGTGGAGAGTGAAAGAGAAGACTCATGGCAAGAATGCATCACAATAAAACCAGCTGTTTTTACTCCTTTAAGAAAACGACCTCTCTTGTTCTTCAATCACCTTCCTCCTGTGCAGACAGCTCGGATGGAGAAGGCGAGGACAGGGAGTAAAATGGTGTTATTACGAGTTTGGATCACTGGTCTCCAAGTACCACTGCACATGGTGAGTAGGGACCTGGCTTTCAGCAAAATAAAAGACTGTTAGGAGCTTCACCAAAAACAGCCCTAACGTGCTCCCAACATAATTTCCATCATCATTTTTAAGTTCATGAAGGACTGAGAGGAGCAAAGACAAGAGCAGTTGAGCACTTCATATACAGGAAGCTGGTGCTGAGTAGCTTGGCTCTAGCCTCCGAATCTGGTCTCCATGTGTCACAGCTGGAGTGGAATGTCTGGGAGTGAGGTTGAAAGGGTAGAAGTGATTCAGAGATGAGGCAATGCTTCCCATGAAAGATGAGTTAAAATGTCTGGTATCCTGAGGATATTAGCTTAGGTCTCCAGAGGTGGCATGAATTCAGTATCAGGGCATTGGGTCCCATTCATGCAGTGTAAGTCTTCCCCTAGAAGTGAAACATGGCAGCCCAAGTTGACAAAAGTCTCAGGTCCCTTGATTAAAATTCTTAGTGTACTGCTAAAAAAACCTACTCTTTGATGAAATGATAAAAGGAATAATAGCAATATACAAAAGGACATGTTGATTCCTGCTTTGAGAATATGAATTCCACACTCAGCTCTAGAGACAAAGAGTTCCTTATAATGGGAGGGTCCAACTCTGTCACTGAAGGCAAGGGACAAAGTGAAGGATCTGTGGAAGAAAATCTCAGAGGTCACAGGGTTGCTGAACTTTCCATGACCCAGGCCTGGAGTTCTCATGGGACCTGATTACAGATGGGAGATGTTCCAGGTGAGGGTGAGTATTAGTAGGCAGGGTCTTTATTACAGTGACCTCAAGAAACTGTTCACATTTCTTGGTACAAAGGAATTTTGGTATATTAAAAATGGCTTGAGAGAGTCCTATTGAAGAAAGTGGAGGTAGCAGAACGTCTGGTCATGCAGGTGTATGTGGGAATGGCATTGACTCCTATGGAATTTGCTGTGCGAATTGAGGGATGCTAACCTTGCATAAGGGGAGGCCAGTATTTAAAATAAAAAGTGTGCTGGATTTGTGTTATGGTTCAGACATGAAATGTCCTGCAAAAACTCATGTGTTGAAGACTTGATTTCAATGCAATGTTTAGAGGTGAGGCTTGAGGGCTCTGGCCTAATCAATGGATAGATTAATCTATTGATGGATTCATAATTTTATGGCACAACTGGGAGGTGGGGAAAAGTGGGATGTTGAACCTAGTTAGAGAAAGAATGCCCTGGAAGGGTATACCTTACCACTGGTCCCTTCCTGTCTTCCTCTGCATTTTGTCTGCCAGGAGGTGAGCCAATTTGATACACTATGATGTTGAGCCTCACTGCAGGCCCAAAGCAATGGAGTCAAATGACAACAGAATGAAACCTCTGAGGCTGTGAACCAAAATATACCTTTCCTCCTTTAAGTTATTTGTGTCAGGTGTTTTGTCACAGTGATGCAAAGCTGTCTATCACAGACGTGGAGCCAGACTTTCAAGTCTAAACTGTCCTTGCCACTTGGCTATTTGTGGTACATTGTGAAACTGAGCTTAGGACTCTTTAATCTATAACAGAAGTACTGGAATAGAGGGGCTGGTAAAATAATAGTGTGATGTAGAAGCACAGTACCATTACTGTAATGGCAAACGTGTTTAGTTTTGGGCAGATGATTCTCTCCAGCTGTAAAATGGCATCGATATCATTTGGCCTCTCAAAAAGTTTCAATCCTAAGAAATTTGATCCCTGCTCTTTTTCTACCCTGCAAGCACGTCAGTTATTTCATCACCAATGCAAAGAGACAGTCTGATGGCTTGGTTTTCACCCTTTAGCAGTCTCAAAGACTACTCACCGTCACTACCACATAGAAGCACCATATCACAGAGCTGAGATGAAAGACGACCAGCTGTCCAGATTCATTGAACTTGCTGTGTTTGACCTTGGAGAGATGAAGCCTTTTGCTGATTTTCTGACGAATAAAGAAAACCCCACTTATTAATATTTGAGCATATCAATTTTGGACAGATTTCAATCTTTTGTTTCCTCCCGACGAAGGGGTTGAACATTGCTAGAGGCTTAAACTGGGCCATAATCCAAGTTATTTAGTATATGCCTACTGGGTGCATACAGTGCTTAGTTACAGATAAGCATTTTGGGAAAACAGCAAGAGCAACACATAAAGAAAACATCCCCCAATCTCACTGTGTATGACAGACCCATAAGGACTCGGGTTTGTCAGATTTCAGACAGCTTTCTATTCACGTAGAATAGAGCTTTCTATTCATGCACTGCTTTCCCACGTGCTGTGAGAAAGGACACAGAACACCGTGTGGTGAAGGATGCAAATCAGGGACGTGCACATTCAGAGCTGTGGTTTCCTCCAAGGCGAGGGCCTCCACCCCAAGTTATCTTCCCCAGTGCTTCTGACCTTAGTATCCAGCCCTGTCACTTACGTCTAAAATGTACTCCTGAACCACAGCATGCAAGATGATGGTGATGAAGATGTAGAACAAGATTGTGACCAGGTCCTTTAGGCCGTAGTGGTACTGCACCGTCTCACTGTCTGTGGGGGTAAGAAGAGTTTCGTCAGCATCCCCAAGGTGAGGAAATGCTCTGATACCCCAAAGTACCAAATGCTACCCATTTGCTATAGTCCCAGACTTAGAAGAAAGATTCTGCTCCAGCATTCTACCCAACCTCTAGACATGGCCCAGGGGAAGCACCAATGGAGAATCAAGTGCACTGCCATATCGTGACCACATGTTTCCCAAATCTGGGCAGAAGAGCACAGTGGTTGGGAGGCAGGGGTTGGAGACAACCAATTTCCATCAATTTCCAATTTCTTATGTGAATAAGAAACTAACCTCTCTGTGTCTCATTATGTACCCCTGTAAAATGGGACTATAGTCACACTTCATCTAGGAATCACAGCATGGGGATTAAGTGTGTGGACTAAGAATTTGGACTGCCTGAGTCTGTTCTCAACTCTATCCTTTATCTTCTAGGTGACCTTGGGACATTTCTGTGATCTCTCTTTCTGTGCCTCAGTTCCTCATCTGTAACGTGAGGGTAACAGTTCCTGCATCATAAGGTCGTTGTGAGTAGAACAGCATCTGGCACAGAATAAGTGCTATTATATATTTGCTATTATTTTGCCTCTGAGCTATTGTGAGGATTAAATGAGATACTTTCTGTGCCAGGTGTTTATTACAGTGCCTACAACTTAAGAGTACACATCTAACAAATGGTGGTTTATTATGTAATAATAAGTTAGGTAGAATCCCAGCTGTAGAACCCTGGTAAAACTCTGCCACTGCAGCCTCTTTGTCCATGGAGACAGCAGAATTTACATCCTAGCTCCAGGTAGGAAACTGCAGGATTGCAAGAGTCTGGTGACTGCCTGGACCTTGCAGCTCTGTGGCCACCCTACCCCCGCAGAAACACTGGTTGCCTTTCCAGCTGTGCTGCTTCACCCTGAGTCACACACACATGAGTCATCTCTTTGCTGGGATGCATTTACCAGAAGGTAGGCCAGGGTTGATTTGTTTCAGAGTGGCTGGAAAACAAAGTAAAGATGAACTCCTAACCTCAGCCACCCTGGACTGGAAGAATGTGATGGTGGGCAAGCGTCAAGGACACAGAGAACATGAACTTGAAATCAGACAAACTTTCCTTTTCTCTCTCTGTCATCCTCTCAACAAACATCTACTCTATGAGAGGCACTGGGCTAAGGGTTGAAACATGGAGCTAGAAGAGGCTGCAAGTCCAGCAGGGGGTTGAAAAGTATGTATAGTTACACTGCAGACAGCTGTGCAGTCAAGAGGCTACCCCAGTGGTAGCCTGGGAGGCTGGGCTGTAGTTGGGGTAGAGGTGCAGGGGCCTCTGGCCAGTGAGAACAATTTTCCAGGGAAACCCAAGAAGAGACAGGTGGTGGTACAGCATCCTAGGCCCAGGAAGCAGCATTTGCCAAGGATGCAGAAAGGAGCTAGAGCATGGAGAGGTAGAGTGAGTAACAGGGTTGTTGTGAACAGCCTCACTGAAAGGGTGTGGACTTTAGCCTGCAGGCAATGGGGACATATCCAAGAACTCAAATTAAACAGGAAAATGATGAAACATGTATTTTGGAAAGTTTGCTTGGCAGTAGTCAACAGTGGCAGGCTGTTGTGACCCAGGTAAGGGCCCATGGGGCCTGAATTCAGGCAGGAAGAAAGAGAAAAGTGGAGTAGAGCTGTCCAGAATGGAGAATGGAGAAGACATGGTGGCCTACCTCTGATAGGGAGTTAGGCACCAAGGACTTAGAAGAGACAGGAGGTGAGTGAGAAGAGATGTGTGTGTTACTCAGCCTCTCGTCTCTGCTCTGCCAGTGGCAAGGTTAACATTACATTTTTCTTGCCTTCTTCACAAGGGAGAATTAAAAAACACTAACTAGATAGCAGCATATTTGAAATATAACAAAATAACTAAATGCATGCAAGGTTTCATTATCAAGACCATATTATCAGGAAAATGGGATTTCTACTCAATCATACAAGCACAGTCTAAAATTAATGAAATGATACTTTCTGAGACTTCACATTATCTGTTCTAAAGTCTTTTAAAGGTCACCTGCCTTTCTTTACTGCATATATTATGGTTCCAAAGAGAAGACCACTGCCTTAAATCCTTGAACCAAGAATGAATGTACAGGGACTGGGGGCATGGCTCAGTGGCAGAGCACTTGCCCACCCATGTACAATACCATAGGCTCAGTTCTCAAGCCCCCCAAAAAGAATGTATGAACAAGTATTCTCTTGTGTTCCTTCACTGTTGAGAGCTGCATGCTTGTGTGTGTTCATCAGCTACAAACTGTGCACAGGCTCTAGGGTGAGTACTAGAAGGTGGCAGTGAGCAGGTGGGCACAGCTCCTGCCCTCTTGGAGCTTAGGGGTACACACCAGATCCTTGTGTACTTAAAAATCACAGGCCAAGGAACTACAATTTTAATAATAAAACCCAACCAACTTGATTAAAAAACGACTGAAGGACTTGAATAGATATTTTTCCCTAAGATGTACAAATGGCCAATAAGGGCATGAAAGACTGCTTAACATCACTAATCATTAGGGAGATGTACATATAAACAGTCTCACCCCCACTAGGATGGAAGAAGGAAGGGAGGGAGGGAAGAAAATAATAAGCGTGGGTGAAGATATAGAAAAAATCAGAACCTTTGGTGGGAATGAAAAATGGTGTAGCCACTATAGAAAACTGTATGGGAGATCACAAAGAGCCTCTTACAGACCATGTTGAGGTAGGTGGACTATCCTAAAGGCAGTAGAAGGCCTGGCAAGACTCCACTTACATATTTATGAAGGCCCCACTCCTCCATATGAAGACTGCATTAGAGTGGTAGGAGTGGAAGGGGGGCAGCAGTCAGGAGGCACCTGCGGACCTTCCAGGAGGTGGAGAAACGGTGGGAGATGGGGAGAGCAAACTCATCAGAAAGAGGTGGCTGATGGGACAGAAAAAAGCAATAGGTGGACTAGCAGTGGGGAACAATTCTCAAGATCCTTCTGGAATCTTTCACAATATTCTGTAAGCCTCCTGCACTGTTTCAGAATCCTTCTATGTGGATTACATTGTCTGCATGGAGAGACTTCAAGGATTTTGTCCATTTCTCAGGTCTGCCAGTTTCCAGGAGAAGAAAGAATAAGTTGTTCACTAATTCTTATGAAAGTGTTCTCAGTACCCAAGTCAGAACTCCTAGTCCTTGCAGACGGCTCCTGCCTTGCATGGGCTCTCATGAAGAACGTGAGTGGACCCATTGTAAATTTAGTTCATAGGAGGATAAACCTCAAGCCAGGCATGGTGGTGCATACCTGTAATCCTAATACTCAGGAGACTGAGGCCGGAGGACTGAGTTAGGTGCTGGCTTGGACTACATGGTGAGACTCCTGCCTGAAGAAAACCCCACATAAACCAAAACCAAAACCAAAACCAAAAGAAGCCTAAGTTTCAGCATGGCTCTGGGCTATTAAACCAGAGAGGTGACTGACAGTAAGTCACAGCAATGCCTACAGGGACCTGGACGGGTAGCACCAATGAGAGAAGTGGTCCAGGTGCCCTACAGTATCCTTTCCACACAAGGCCCATTGCAGAAAGCAGGCAGTATTCTTCCTTCCACAAAGAAAAATGTTTTTAGTTGTTTTTCTTTACATGTCTCAGTCTCTTGGTCTTTCACATCTCCGCTTTGAGAAACAAGTGTAAGAAATATCCATTTCCTTTTTCTTTTTTAAAATATGGTACTGGAGTTTGAACTCAGGGCCTACACCTTGAGCCACTCCACCAGCCCTTTTTTGTGATGGTTTTTATCAAGATAGGATCTCAGGACCTATTTGCCTGGGGTGGCTTTGAACCATGATCCTCTTGATGTCTGCCTCTTGAAGTAGCTAGGATTACAGGTGTGAGCCACTGGCTCCCGGCTCCACTTCCTTTTAAACTTTACTGAAAGAAGTACAACGGTTTAAATTGAGATGTGTGGCAAGTATCAGGCAGTGTCAGCATTAGACACACTACAGAGGAGTGGTGACTGTGAAAAACTGAGCGTGTGTCCCACAGGGACGGGAGAGACTGCTTCGCAGTCACTGTGGCCCTGGCAGATTCCTGGTATTTCAAAAGCCAAGAGAGCAATCTTTACAAGAAACCATCTGATTTTAAAACGTGGGTGACTAATGCAAAAATTTTAAAAACATGGTTTTTATTTTAAAAATACTCACCTGGCCAAAGAAAACACATCGGCAAGCCAACTCTGACCATGGGCCACCGATTTGTAACTTCTAGCCTAGCTGACCCTAACACCTTTTCAACACCAGCATTCTATGAGCCTTCCTTCCACACAGCCCTCTGGAATACATCAATATGCACTAGTACAGGAATTAACCCAGCTTTGGAAGAAAGCACTGTTAATATGATCTTCCTCTTGCTGATGGCTCATCCATCCATAGCCCATTAAAAATGGACACTTGCTCTGCTTGCCTGTGATCACAGTTCACAAGAGACCTGAAATCATCAACAGGAGCCTTGGCTTTTTGACAACCTCTGTGAACAGCTGGCCCTTTTGGGGAGTAACATTGCCCTTGATCTCCTGTTTTGTTTCCTATGACAAAGATATTCTCCTACTTCCTTTTGACATCACTGGTAAGCTGCTTCTCTCGCCTGCCTTTTCATAGTCCAATGCTGTTTGAATACCACTGTGCAGTCTCTGGCCTCCTCCTCTGGACCTGAGCTACCATTCTCTTATGCTGCAGTCCAGTCTGCTCTTCAGAACTACCGAGTCTCAGCGTCTGCCAGCAAAGCTTCTTTCTTTGTCTGAAACACTGATTGCATCACTGTAGTCCTTGGTCCCTTCTTTCTCTCCCAGTTTCTTTCCAAATCCCTGCAATTTTGGATCTATAAAATTGACTTCTACAGGTTTCTGGGCTGACAGCTAACTGTGTGTTTTCATATTACTTCAAACCTTTTCTACTACACAGTAAGCCTGCTTTATTAAGATTTATTACACAAAGTTTTGATCAAGCACAGTAAA